TAAATGCAAAACTTGCTATCTCAGATAATGTAAACATTCGCTCTCGTAATTATCTGTATTTCATACACCATGAAGACACAGTAATTTTCTTTTTTAAACAAATTAACATTAAATGTAATTGTAGACAAAGGAACCTCCATATATAACCCTTGATTTGTTCTCATACGGAAGTAATATTTTGTGAAAATAATGTATGTTATGAAAAGAATTAATTCCGGAGGGGGAGTCTCGAGTTGGGTAATGTAGAAAATCCTGGTGAGAGGAATCGATTTTGTTTAAAAATGATATTTTTTCAGCACAATATGAAATAAATTAATATGAAGCAAGGATCTTGTATAAAGTGCTTATCATTGATATCAATATCGGTATGTGTAAGTTTACACAGAGCACATATCAAAATCTGAATATGAAGTAGTAGATACCTGGTATTTAAAAATAAAACCATTTTTTAAAATGTATAAATAAATAAAAATATGATATGAGTTGATTTTTCTACCCTTTTGAAAAAAAAAATAATAAAAAAACAGTTTCAGTTCGGTTTCAGCATGCGAAAACCATACAGAATCAAAATCAATAGTAAAGATTATAATGAGTTGATTTTTCTACCCTTTTGAAAAAAAAATAGAAAAAGTTTCAGTTCGGTTTCAGCATGCGGAAACCATATGGAATCGAACTCAATCGGAAAAAAAATCATTTGAATTGATTTTTTTACCCATTTGAAAAAAAAGAAAAGAAAAAGTTTCAGTTCGGTTTCAGCATGCGGAAACCATATGGAATCGAAATCAATAGTTTCCGGAAACTGAAACCTACTGAAACTAAAAAGTATCGTTAAATTGACATTTCATTAAAATTTACATTGGTTTCCGTTTTGCGGAAACTATTTGGAAACAAATCTAATAGTTTCAGCATACTGAAACCCTACAGAAACTTGCTGAAACTAATATATAGTTTCCGCATTGCGGAAACCATACAGGAAACTTCAACGCCAAGTTTCAGCAAGGTTTCCATATAGTTTCAGTTTTGCGGAAACTGGACTTTTCACCCAGTGATGCAACCAAAAAAATTAATAATTTTGAATATTTTTTATTACATAACAATTTACCAAAAAGAAAATGAAAAAAAAGTCTTTTTAGCTAATAAAAGCTGAAGTGCAATCTAGAATGTTTTCTTAAAGAACTGCATCACATTTCAAGGTTAAGGTCATGAGACCAAATATCTATCATAATACAATCCAAAGGTCTTGTCACAAGTAATGCTTTTGTTAAAAAGATATGAATGCCCTGTCTTTTCTCCAGAAAATAAATATACTACCTGGATTAGAATTTGTAATGGAAAAAAAGTGCGAACGATAGTATTGTTCTCCCGCATACCTCCAAGTCGAAAGTTAACATATTTGAATGATTGTTCACATATATATGGATTTTCATAAAGCATAAATTCTTTAGGAAAACCACGAGAGATAACTGTAAAATGTTGGTAAAACTCCAGTTTTCACTATAGAAACAGACCTGCCTACCCTTCCGCTTTTGGCGTATTTCTTCCGCTTTTTACCACAAAATTACGCTATTACGCCACTTACATTAATTTTACGCTTTTGATATTTTGGTTTAAAATCCATAATGAACGTCTAAATTTAGAGTCAAAGTACGACCTGCTAAAATGAAATGAGAAGTTCCAATAAAAGTAATTGATAGAGGACTAGTTCAATATCGTACATTAACTACTAAATGATATTGCAATAAGTACAGCCATTTCTATGCTCAATTTTGTTTATTTTAACGTTACTTAGAACAAGATAACAGAAATGTGAGTGTTAAAAAGATACAATACATTGTTTTTATGTACGATTTGTGTAAACATGCAAACGCAAGCCTTCTATTAAGTGATTTGATAGTTGATGCAAACGGACCATATGCTTCATTAAGGGTGTACGGTTGGTTTGAGTTTATTATAGGATAGTGGTATTTTACAACACATTTTTGATAATAGATTATTTTAAAATTTGGCATTTTGATGGTAGCCCGCTAAACTTTAAATCGCTAAAATAGTCAGTACTCTTCTTAGTGTTCATCTGCAGAGAATTGAAACCCTGTGTCCGCTAAAATAAATTACGCCAAAATTATTGGCAAAACAAAGCAGGCAAAACGCTAAATTTTACACCCGCCAAGAAAACCCGCCATACGGAATAAGAGTAAAGCAACAAAATAGGAAAACATGATTGATTACGCTTTAACCTCTAAAATTCCACCAAAAATTTACTGAAATTACACCCTTGGAATGAAAAGGGTAGGCAGGTCTGTAGAAATCAACGGGAAACGAGATATATTTTAAAAACATCTCCTCTCCCCCAATGAAACACAAATTCCTTTTTACAGGTAATATGGACTATCATTTCACAAATTCACACCAAACCTTTTTGTGTTTCACGGGGGGTGGGAGGGGGGTTACATATGTTTATAGACAAAAAACAATAAAAATCTTAATTATTTCAGCAAAATTCAGCAAATTTCTAAGCGGTTTTTCAACTTAAACATTATATTTTACTACTATACATCTTTAATCTTATATGCGTAAAACATAAGAAAAGAAACATTTATTCATATCCAAGACTATTTCAAAATAATTATGGTGATGCTTTTAGGCCCGATTTTAGTGCAAAATATCGTCTACCCCATTCTTTCAAGGACTGAAATTTGGAATACTTTACTATTTAACACTGGTATTATTTTAATTAATTAATCACCATTGAACTGTTTTTTTTTTTTTTGTTAAACAAAGACTTTATTGCCAAACTGTCATTCCTATTTTAAAAATTATCTGGTTGTAAATTATAGACGAGAATCAAGAGTTGGCGCGCGTAGTTCTTTGTTCCACAAGGTTTGCTTTGCGCCATTTGATTTTCCTAGTACCCCAAATAACTTAACCGTTACTCAGTATTCTAGTAGATAAAGTTGGAATACTTTGAAAAAGAAACTTTTATCCCTTATAACTTTTTTTGTCCTGAATAATAATAAGGACGACGATTAGTGATGAAATATATAGAGATAACGTACAGTATTGAGCTCAAAATCTATTCGAGTGTGACCGTGCGGAATGACCCGATTTTTGAGTGACAATTATATTGAAGTTCCTTGATAGTGCTAATTAGAATATAATAGACATTGACCGCAAGACATTTGATGCCGTCTGTGCCTGATCGAACGTATTAATTCTTATTCTGTTATATCAATTATGTTCTTCTGTTTAGAGTAATTCATCATATTTATTGTCTATTTCATTGTTGCGATAAATTGGTTGTTTTATACATGATCGTGAGTTGCAAAGGGGACTCTGCACTGTCCACGCCGACATCCAGATCGTGTAGAAAACGCCAATTTTTGGATCGTTAATAAATTATTAAACGAAGCACCGAGTCGTGGCCTTCAACTCGACATTTAGATATATCGACGACGAATTGTGAGCTTGAAATAAAAGATACCACAGAATCTGACACATCTGCTTCATACTTGGATATTTTACTTGAAAAAGACGTTAATGGTAATTTAACAACCAAGCTCTATGATAAACGTGGTGACTTTAACTTTTCAATTGTCCACTTCCCTGTCTTATGCAGCAATATACGTTTATCACCTGTATACACGGTTTATATATCTCAGTTGATTCGATACGCCAGAGCATGAAATTTTTAAAACGAGGTCAGTTATTGTCAAACAAGTTGTCGAAACAAGAATATCTCGTTTAAAGTCATCATTTCGCAAGGTATGGTCGATAGAATGACCTTGTCATCAAATACAACCTATCATTAAGTGAGATGCTAACTGACGTTTTATATACCAATTACTTGGCCACTATTTTCACATTGAACTGTCTCAGGAATGTTTCTGTTTTTACCTAAGCATGACAAGAAGCATACGGCGAGAGTAATCAGTCGACAGGGGATGCTTACTCCTCCTTGGCACCTGACCCCACCTTGGTGTTTTTGAGATCCGTATTTGCTCTGCTGTCGATGTGTATTATTCAAATGGACTTTGAGTTTGAATACTGTTCGTTATCTTAATATTTAATGGCATTTTCTAAAGTTGAGATTTGCTGTATTTTATTACTAAGTATGTTATAAAATATACTCTTTTCGACAAAACATCCTGTATCAGCCCTAAATACCTCTGGCTAATATTGGTCTCTCAGACTGATACTGAAAAAAGTCTCTTCCATCGTCAAGGTCTTAACGGGACTTGATTATATGGAATGATTCTTTGAAATTCTTCTCCGCTCCTGGGAAAGAAGCAGACAACCTAGGTTTGGTTTGATGAGAAGAGGTACCTCTTCCAAATTTTGAAATTTATTGCCCTTTCAAAATCATGAAAACCATGACAAATTGGACTTGAAAAAGTATAAGTATTTCTGCTACATGTCGAAGTTTTTAAAATCATTATTCACCAGAAAAATTAATATATTTATATTCTAAGTCACTGTATACACAGACACCTATATACTATAGTATATATACCTCTGGTATACATTTGAATAAACAGTAATAAACAAAAGCAGAAAATGATGATAATCAAGTTTCCTATCAGCATTATTAGTTGTAGTAAAGAGTAATGTAGGCTAACAAATTTACATGTATTTTTAGATTTCTTACTTCTAATTTTAAAACAAACTAAAACAATAGATTAGTTTTAAAAGGAAAATGCCTTTTCATTTTATCATGCATATGAAAACAATTGTCACTTAAATAGATGAAACAGGTGATTAACATTGCAGACGCTTATCTCATTATATGAAGAGTCTAGCGATTTGATTTTTAACAAAACTCTGTAATATAAAAAATTATTAAGCATCCGAATCTGGGAAGTAAATATAAATATTCAGTATAAATAGATAAACAATACACATACGGAAATATATGTAGACATAACTCGGAAGGATAATTTTCAGCCTAATTAAAATACGAATATTCTGTAAAAAGTGTTGTTATTTGTCCCTCTTAACACATGTACATTTGATCCTGTTTCATTTTTTGTTCTTAATTGCATTTAAACCATTTTTGAATGCAATTTCATTGATATCAGTTAATATCTTGAGTTTGCGTGTCATTCTCCGAATGCAGTAAATTTTCTCTTGTAGAGGATATTTCGGAGTAAATATTTCCTTCGCCTGTAGCTCTGTCAGCTGCCATCTCAGAGACATGACCATGTTCCGTGAAGTTTATTGAGATTCTGTCGGTTTGAAGAGTTATCTCGTTAAGTTTCTCTTTGTCTTTTCTATAAAGAAACGATTCAAATATGAACATTCAATCAAATGAGAAATATGCATGTGTTTTTAGGTCATGTGATTATTTCTCCATGCATAATATTACCTTCTTTGTAATAGATATATTCCGATCATAATAGTTAGGGCTACCACAAGTCCAATAAAAAGCAGGAGAAACATCCGGTTGTCGGATTTGAGGTCTACGGATATTTTTCCTAGAAAGTAATTTTTGGATAAAAATGAAAGAGTTTTCCTTTTTAAGTTAAATAAATAGAAAGAAAGGAAAAAACTTATTTCTATTAAAAATTTGATAAATACATGTAGAATATTTTGTTTGAGCAAGATGCGACATTGAAACATTTTTAATGTCTACACACTAACGAACAATTTACAAACAAACCTTTTGATCGTACAGTTTTCCTGTTAATATTAAATGTAGTAAGATTTTTGTCCGTATCAACAGTCTTCAATGTGTTAAGTTCTGATTTCCTACTGCAGTCCATTTCCAAATGTCCTTAAAGCAATGGAACCATTTTGTAACAAGGAACCTACATGTCTTGACATTGATTTATTGGTAAAATGAATTCTTATGCAGTAAAATTTTCATACAATGGATATAAGATGTAATAGTACCTTGGAGATGTATCCAAACTCTTCCCTCCAGTTCTGTATGTATTTTAATAATGTATCGAGTGTTATTGGTATTAAAATCGTTGTTTAAGGTGATGTTAGTACCGTATACGCATCTGTTACCATTACCTGAAAGACAAATATACACTGATTTCATGTTGCGAAATATAAGCATTATAAAGATTAATCATTGAATACTAAATGTATTCTTTTTTTTGGAAAAATTATATGAACTTTTCTTTTGAAGATACAAAATTTAAGCAGAATAGGTATCGTATATATAAATTATAGAACTTGTTTTCTTGAAAGCAAACCATCATCTTACTGTATAATTTTTCCCCATCTCTATATAGAGTCAGATTGGCTTCTGTCAGCTCCAGTATGGATAAGAGATGTATTGTTCCCTTCATTTCACATGTAATGTTTCCATAGAAATCGTCCATGACCAAATGAATTTCTCTGGAGGTTTTTATAGTGTTCCGATTACTTTCCAATAAATTGAATAAAAGGTTCTCTAGGGAAAAAAGAACATGTACAAATGTATTTAAGGTCTTCCGTCTTCACGGAAGACCTTATATCTACTGTTTCTTATTATTATTCTTTTTATTATTTTTTTTCCCAAAATTTTGTGCACGCGATTTCTCGAAGACTACTGGATGGAATGACATGAAATTTTCAGAAAAGATTTGTCGTAACGTGAACTTGATCTATCTGAGCGATTTTTTGAAAATTCCAATATGGTGCCAAGTTACGGGACATTTCCTGATTTTAAAATGACATTTTGTCTGTGGTTAATCTCAAGAACGGTAAAAGATATCAATGTGAAACTTTCAGGGATTATAGATCGTGATAGATACTAACCAGGACGCGACCTTTCGTTCGTCGTCAATACTTCCTGTCGTTAGGATATGCAAATTGAAAAAAGCGTATTTTCTAACTTTTTTGTTTTTCAATATTTTTCATTTATTTTTGGAATGTTAATAGAAACCCTTTTACTGATGCTTACTATATAAGTTGTTTGAATATTGGGTAATCTGAACTCTAGATATTAATATTTGAAAATCTGAAGCGGACCCAATATGGCGGCTGTCTCTGTCAACTCCGCCATTTCGCGAAGGGGTTTATGGGGGCAAACGTTTGATTAAACCATTCTGACATAAGGATACATGAAATATGAAAAACTACTTGGACTTTCACGTTGTAGTACGTTGCAATTCAGTGTCAATCTTAAAACTTAATTTCCGTTTCACTGCTTTAGTGTAACTGGGCTGGGTACGATATGTAATGTGTACAATGTGTTAAATAAACTTTATTAACGTTGAAATAAAATAAAGGCGATAAGAACGGTTTATTTATTTACTTTCATTGAAACTATCACACCTATTTAATAGATCAGTCCAAAGAAAAGGCGCAAATATTTACTCGTGGCGTTTGGCGCGAAATTATCAATAGTGGTCCGCCTTTTATAATGATTAGACAGGTATACTGTTGCAAAAGTATACACAAGTATATTAAGAGCAGTGTTCCCAATAGCTTAATGGTTTGCGCATTGGGGATAAAAGAGAAAAAAAGCGCATTCACGTTGGCGACCTGGGTTCAATCCTCCTTGTGACCAAAATTTCAAAACACTTTTCAGTTCGATTTTACAAGGTTTTTTTCCTGAATCGGACGGAAGACCTGTCGTTGCTCGCAACGAGATCGTATCTAGTTTCTTATACTAATTTTAATTAATTTTATTGTAAATAATGATTTTTATTTTATTAAATTCAATAATGTTCTACTTGATAAAATAAACTTTATCTTTTCCCCCTAAAAACTGACTGTTATTATTTTAAAATTTGAAATCTTACTTGGTACGCAAAAATAAGTAAAACTAGTGAATAAAGAATCCTTGGTCCAGTTGTGTTCTAGTATGGTCTCATTGCGGCAACTTTCATTGAAAAGGTCAAATGTTTTGTATTTTAGTAAATTCTCATTCAAAACACATGTATTTTTTAAGTTACAGCTGGTTGCAGCAATAAAAGGCGTCCCATCACTGTTAGAGCTGTCGAGTGGTAGGGACCTGGTACACACCCCCTTTTCCAAATTTGCAGCACATGATTTTTCTTGGTCACCAACAGAAACAGAACCTGATGTTATAGCCTGGTTCTTAACGTAGATAACTTCATCAGAGCCACACTTCATATAATTTGTCCTTTCTGCTACGCGATGTACCACTCTCTGGCATTTAGTTTGTTTAACCTCAATGGCTTTAATCATATCTATAATTAAATAAGGGAAAAGAAAAATTAATTATAAATAAACCTGTTTTTTATGAAAATATTTTTTAAAAAGATACAAACTCTTATTAGCACATCTATAACTTACCTTGATAGAGAATTGTGATGAATATAAAAGGAAGATATCTTCTCGTCACAGCCATCTTTCTGTTAAATGACAACGACAAGAGGAAGTCCCTGTCAGTAATTTCCAGCATTAGGACATTATATTTCCTTATCAAGATTAAATGAAATATTTTCTTGGATTTTATGGGGTAAATTATTTGTATTCAAACTATGATGAAAGCGTGCTGGAATATGTAGGACTCCTCATACAGTGCGTAGGCTAATGTAGCTTTTATTTTCCTGGTTATGATTACACTTCCAAATGTGTACACGATTTTTTTAGGCTTTTTGGTAAAAATTGAACTCTTAAATTTACTAACTTTGTCAGTGGTCATTTGCAAAACTATGTTGTTAAAAAAATTTGATTGTACACACAAGTATTCTGAGCTTTACATTAGAATGTTTGAAGGTGCTTGAGTTTCTGATTGACAATATCTATGTTGTTTTTATCTCACCTGAGCCGTCTGTCCGTCTGTCCGTCCGTCAGTAAACTTTTCACATTTTCAACTTCTTCTCAATAACCACTAAGCCAATTTTAACCAAACTTGGTACAGAGCATCCTTGTGGAATGGGGAGTTTAAATTGTTAAAATAAAGGGCCAGGTCCCCTTCCAAGGGCAGATGATCAAGAAAAGACAAAAATAGGGTGGGATCATTAAAAAATCTTCTCAAGAACCACTTGGCCAGGAAAGCTGCAACTTATGTGGAAGCATCCTGGGGTAGTGTAAATTCTAAATTGTTGAAATCATGACCCCCTGGGGTAGGGCGGGGCCACGATAGGAAATCCAAGTTTTACATAGAAATATATAGAACAAATCTTTAAAAATCTTCTTCTCAAGAACCACCGGGCCTCAAAAGCTGAAACTTATATGGAATCATCCTGGGGTAGTGTAGATATTAAATTGTTAAAATCATGATCCCCGGGGGTAGGGCGGGGCCACAATAGGAAATCCAAGTATTACATAGAAATATATAGGAAGAATCTTGAAAAATCTTCTTCTCAAGAACCATTGGGCCAGTAAAGCTGAAACTTACGTGAAAGCATCTTGGGGTAGTGTAATATCTTAATTGTTAAAATCCTGACCCCCGGGGGTAGGCGGGGCCACAATAGGAAATCCAAGTTTTACATAGAAATACATAGGAATAATCTTTAAAAATCTAATCTTCTTCTTAAGAACCAGTGGGCGAGGATAGCTGAAACATATTTGAAATCATCCTGGGGTAGTGTAGAATCTTTAAATGTTAAAATCATGACCCCCGGGGTAGGGCGGGGCCACAATAGGGAATCCGATTTTTATATAGTAATATATAGGAAAAATCTTCTTCTCAAAAACCAGTGGGCCAGGAAAGCTGAAACTTAGGTGGAAGCCTGGGATAGTGTAGATTCTAAATTATTAAAATCAAGACGGGGGAGGGGGGTAACGGGCCACAATAGATATAAGAAGAGGCGAAATCTGGTAAAGAACTGCATCACAAAAGTTACTCAAGTGAGCGATGTGGCCCATGGGCCTCTGTTTTTTTTTTTTTTTTTTGGTTTTGTTTTTTTTGAGACCAGGTCTTCCAACAATCTATTGGAATTCCCATTGAAACCAATTGCACCCTGTTACATGTGTATTAGCAGATACATTTATGTATTCACATGAAACAGAATTTGTGCAATACTCAGTATCTTATGCGTTTCATTTTTCTCAAATTGAGATGTGCTGTATGTAATTAAACATACCTTTTTCGACAAACATTCTGTATCAGCCCCTAGGCCCTCTGTCTAATTTTAGTTTCTCGGACTGATACTGGACAAAAGTCTCTCCCAACGTCAAGGTTTACACATTTTGACATTTGTATCCTTTAAAAGGAAAACAAATTAATACCGTTTTAGAGAATTAGGATTTTCTTGAATTCAGCCTTAGATACCAATGCTTATTAGCATGATATGAAATAAGATGTGATTTGTGGTGTCTTGCAATGATAGCAAAAGCCTTTTACACTATGTATTATAGAATACATGACGGAAATATAAGACAAAAAATACCAAAGAAGTATAAAATTCATGACAATTTTTCTTAATGCCTGGATACATATCGTTTTTTCAACTAAAATATTTTTGTTGATCAATTTGCAAATACATTGCTGATATTCCTTTTTCTGCAAAATTATTTGAGGTTTGACAATTTTCCCCATATAATATGATTAACCTTAATCTTTAACTTTTAAAGAATTACTGCAGATAAATTTACATAACTTTGTGGATTCATATATATGTTTTGAGTCTTTTTGATTACTTAACTGCTAATTTTATAAACCTGAGGATCGGACTACCTTAAATCATTTATTCATCAGAAACATTAATATATTTAAATTCTATAAGCCAGAGTACTATTACACTATACAGTAGATCCCTGATATAATATATATGTATAAACAGTAATATACAAAAGCAGAAAATGATGATAATTTCCTTTCAGCATTATTTGCTTGATAAGTAGATATACAGAATTATGCACTTTTATGTCAATTTATGGCAATTTGAAGGAAAATGCAGAAAAATATTAAGTTAGACTGGGATTTAAACACAAACATGCAAACAAGCAGAAAGACAGAAGGACACTTCACTTTTGCATAAATCCCAGTAAAACAGAACAGGAATACATATATTTGCCTGCATGTAATTATATTCAGTAAACTATATTTTCCATGAATATATGAATAGAAGACGTACCTTCTCTGTAATAGATATATTCCGATCATCATAGTCAGGGCTACCACAAGTCCAATAACAAGCAAGAGAAACATTCGGATTTAAAGTCGACGGGTGTTTTTTTTAAATGAAAATTACCGAGGAAGTATTTCTTTAAAATCATATTGATATAAATTAACATCAATTTCTATATACACTAGGCCTACATGTATCTATAAAAGTTTTGAAAAATTAAAAAAAAATTCTGTTTAAGTAAGATCAAATATTGACACAATTTTAATGTCTACACTAACGAACAATTTTCAAACAAGAAACATTTCCAGGGTATAGGTGGTTCTATAAGAAACAAACCTTTTGATCGTACTGTGCTCCCCTTGATATCAACTGTAGTGAGTTTTTTATCTGCATAAACAGTCGTCAGTGTGGTAAGTTCTGATTTCTTATTACAAGTTTCTATTTCCAAATGTCCTAGGAAAGCAATAGAACCATGCTTTTATAAAATGTGTTGACATTGTTTTATTGGTACAAGGAATTTTTATGCAGTATAATTTTCATACAATGGATATAAGATGTAATTACATGTAGTACCTTTTAGATGTATCCAAACTCATCCCTCCCCATCTGTGTGTATTTTAATAATGTATTGAGTGTAACTGGTGTTAAAATCGTTGTTTAAGGTGATGTTAGTACCGTATATGCTCATGTTCTTATTACCTGAAAGACAAATATACACTGATTTCATGTAGCGAAATATAAGCATTGTAAAGATTGATTTTTAATAATTAATACATCCTTTTTAGGAAAAATGAATGAACGTTTTTTTTTAAGATACAAAATGTAAGCAAGATCGGTATCATATATGAATTATGGAAGTTGTTTACTTAAAATTGGAAGGAAACCATCATCTTACTGTATAATTTTTCCCCATCCCTATATAGAGTCAGATTGGCTTCTGTCAGCTCCAGTATGGATAAGAGATTTATTGTTCCCTTTATTTCACACGTATTTCACACGTACTGTTTCCACAGAAACTGTCCGTAACCAAATACATGTCTTTGAATCTTTTTGTAATGTTCCGATTACTTTCCAATAAATTGAATAAAAGATTCTCTGGGGAAAATGTATTTTCTAATATTAATTTTAATTAATTTCATTTTCCTTAATTTAATAGTGTTCTTCCTAAAAATATTTTTTTATCTCCCCTAAAAACTGATTTTTATATTTTAGAATTTAAGCAACATATTAAATCTTACTTAGTATGCAAATATAAGTAAAACTAATGAATCCTTGGTCCAGTTGTGTTCTAGTGAGGTCCCATTGCGGAACTTTCATTGAATAGGTCAAGTGTTTTGTAAAGTAAATTCTCATTCAAAACACATGTATTCTTTAAGTTACAACTGATTCCAGCAATAAAAGGCGTCCTATCACTCTTAGAGGTGTCGAGTGAAGAGACCGGGTACACGCCCTCTTTTTCAAATTTGCGGCACATGATTTTTCTCGGTCACCAACAGAAACTGAATCTGATGTTATAGCCTGGTTCTTAAGGTAGATAACATCAACAGAGCCACACTTTATATAATTTGTCCTTTCTGCTACGTGATGTACCACTCTCCGGCAATTAGTTTGTTTAACCTCAATGGCTTTAATCATATCTATAATTAAATAAGGGAATAGAAATTAATTATTTATGAATCTGTTTATTATTAAAAAAATATTTTGTAAAAGGATACAAACTCTTAGTAGCACATCTACATGTGTGACTTACCTTGATAGAGAATTGTGATGGATATAAAAGAAAGATATCTCCTCGTCACAGCCATCTTTTTGTTAGATGACAACGACAAGAGGAAGTCCCTGTCAGTAATTTCAAGCATTAGGGCACTTTATTTCCTTATCAAGATTAAATGAAATATTTTCTTGTATTTAATGGCGGTAAATTGCTTGTATTCAAACTACATGTGTATGATGAAAATGTGCTCGAGTCTATAAAGTGCGTAGACCAATGTAGCTTTTATTTTCCTGTTAATGATTACACCACCAAATATGTGCTTTTTTATTCCAGGCTTTTTGATATCATGTACAGCTGGGGGTTTTTTTCAATAAAAATGGAAGTCTTAAATTTACTCACCTTGTTAATGGTCATTTGCTGTTCAATAAATAATGTCATGGGTGCTCTTCAATGATTTTGTCTTAATGATTTCACTTAAATATTCTCTTTTAATTAAAACACACGTCCGTGATATTTTTATCCAATTTCTGATTGTTTAAAACATATTTTTGAATATGTACCCCCGTATACTGGAATATTGCAGATCCTATGATCTTCTGGACTTGTTTCTTCTTTCTGAAAGTTTTTTATAAGTTTGGAAAACGGAACAAGTGGTGAAAAGACCTGTTGAATTTTGATGGTATAACAAAACATAAACTTTGTGTTTATCCCCAAAACTTCTTTACTTTTCATGGCGTGTGGGTTTAGACACTGTCATGAAGAAATTTAATGTAGTGGATTCCTGATGCTCGTTCTTCGTTCTTCTCATAAACCTTTCGATTTATTTGCAAAAAGTTTGCTATTTAGACTCCTCCAGAAATTGAATTGCTTCCCCGAATAAGAATTTGAACAACAAGACCACTAATATTTTTTTTTTAAAATGGCATATAAAACTATATTTGAGCTCTTGCATTTTCTTGCTCTTCTCAGGCCTTTGCTGTTTTTGTCAAGTGCGTCTTATTGTAAATTTGTTTTGAGGATTTAAAGCAATGGATTCAAGTTTCATAATCTGTATGAATTTCATACAAACGTGTATATTTGCAATTTTTATTTTTTTAAAAAAAAATATTTGATCAGAGATTCATACACGCTGTCGATTTCTCTCATTTTTGAAAACATAGGGTGAACATTGAGTACCAAGATTTTTTCCTGTCAAATATTTCATCAAAACAGTTTGTGTAAACTATTCCCAAAACGATGCCTATCAAAAACATCATCAGTGATAATTTGTTGATATTTGGCAAACAGTACATTGTAAGTCCTTGTCGCCAAGGACGGTACCCTTTTTTGATGCCCAGAATATCATTTTTGTTCAGTGAAATCCACCCACTCATGTTTATAAAACAGACATTCGTTGCTGTAAATATCACAAATTTCAGTGAATATTTCTTTGGGATTCTTAACAAGGTTTACAACAGCTTTAACGAAGCGTTTAATTTCACTCTAGTTTGCTGATTCTATACCATTCATTTTTAATGCAGTGTCTCAAATAGCCCTTGTTTACCAGCTTTTCACAATGAAACCATGTGATGAAAAGTGGTCACAAAAAATGTTATTAATTCATTAAAGATTCAACCATGAGAGAAAGTCGAGCTTAATGTCACAGGATTTCTATTTTGTATGTCATAGAGCTCATTGCATTTTTATTGTACAGCCCTAGTTTGATATTGAATAATCTCTTCCTTAGAAAGGGAGCTTTGGCTTTACGCTAGATTACCACTTGAAGACTTAAATCCAAGCTCCTCTAAAATACTGTGCCTTCAAAAAGGACAATGTGTCCTGTTTTGTCAGCTTAGGCCAGTAAATACTGATCGTGTAGTCTATAATATTTGTTACTTCTGAATTATTAAAAACAGAAGGATAGATGATTTTCATATAGCCCCTCAATCGCTTATTGCTAGATTTGACATTCAACAATACAAACTTGTAAACAGGGCAAAAACTCTCCCCGACATTTTAGAGATGGAATCAGTTGTAAAGGAAGAGTAAGCATGCCCGTCATACGCAACAGGTATTCATCTGTTGCACAAAAATATTCCTTTGTTAAATTGAGTATAAACACTGAGACATAGCAATTTGTACGAAACACGTCAGCCAAAATATTATCCTCATAATAGGTTGTGCTTGCAAACAAGGTCAATATAACGACAACAGCATTCACGAAATGTTTACTTTATTAACAAGGTTGATGAAATCCTTGTAACATTAACTTTTTTAATAAGTAATCTGCCTTAGTCCTAAAACTGATCGTACTCACATGTTTTGCGTATCGAAAAAGTTGGGAGATGTACACACTAAATATAGGTGATAGCGCAATACATGTATAATTAAATAGATAAGGAAATTGGCAATGGAAAACATCTTATAATAATTTATTTAGTTTATCGTAAGTTATTAGATGGTATTGTTTATTAGGCCTATAGTCAGTAAAATAATCAAATATGAATAACATATAGCAGTCGCAGTTGTGACTTTAATTTTAAATTGACTGCAGGAATAGTCAAAATGTGGATGGTATTAAGGACTATTAACTATTGTTAATTGATAAAACGTCAATACAATTGAAGTTAAAGGCCATAGAAAGTATTTTCCTGGTCTCACGTAGAAGTTTTTGAAAATATTCTGGTTTATAGGAATATAAAAACGGATCAGCAAAGAAAGGAAAAATACGGAAGCCCATTTAGGACCTATCAAAAAATATTTTTGAATTCGTTATAACGATTTTTAGAATTAGTTATAACGAATTTAATTTGTTATAACAGATTTATTGAATTCATTATAACGAATTTAATTTGTTATCACAGATTCATTGAATTCGTTATAACGAATTTAATTTGTTATAACAGATTTATTGAATTCATTATAACGAATTTAATTTGTTATCACAGATTCATTGAATTCGTTATAACGAATTTAATTCGTTAAAACAGATTTATTGAATTCGTTATAACGAATTAAATCTGTCATTACAGATTTGTTGAATTCGTTATAACGAATTAAATCGGTTATTACAGATTTGTTGAATTCGTTATAACCAATTCAAGAATTTGTTTTAACGAATTTTTGAATTGGTTATAACGGATTGAACAAATCTGTAATAACAAATTTAATTCGTTATAACGAATTCAATAAATCTGTAATAACAAATTAAATTCGTTATAACAAATTAGTGAATCTGTTATAACAAATTAAATTCGTTATAACAAATTTAATGAATCTGTTTTAACAAATTAAATTCGTTATAACGAATTCAATGAATCTGTTATAACAAATTAGATTCGTTATAACGAATTCAATGAATCTGTTATAACAAATTAAATTCGTTATAACGAATTCAATAAATCTGTTATAACAAATTAAATTCGTTATAACAAATTCTAAAAATTGTTATAACGAATTCAAAAATATATTTTTTGATAGGTCCTAAATGGGCTTCCGTAGAAAAAAGTGATTTTCTTTAAAAAAAAAAACAACACAAACAATCAGTTTATAAAAAAAAATATCCGACTCTCAATTTTATTGAAAAAGCAGATAGTAATTATATCAAAAAGCATCGTTTAAATTGGTTGTGAATGGCTGTATAAAAAGACAAAGGTACATTTTCACAATATAGATGGTCATTAAAAAAGAAGATATTTTGAATTTCAATTCCTTCTCTCAAATCACATCACGATATCTTCGAATGATACACGGATCTACTCTCATAGTGATTTGTGTTGTTCTTATTCCTTGTATTGAATAATATGTGTTTTCTCAAACACATTATATGTATGTTCTCTTATAATCTTCTCTTCATGAAAATATTTTTATCAAAGATTTACAACATTTGTTAGATAAATATACATAGAGTCTTTTAATGCTCAGAGCTTTACCTTGAATAAAAGAGTTACTCAACAAAAGTTCATTTTTTAAATAAAAATATCATTAGTACAATACTTAGTATATATTAATAATAAATAATATCAAATTTCCAACTATATACTCGAAAACGTCAAATCAAGACTTCTTCTATCTAAAAGAAACTAAGAATTTTTTTTTCATTTTTGTATATACAAAATATATCAGAAAATAAAAATCATTGAACGTCCAAAATATCATAATTGCTAAGAATCAGCACTGTTTGATATATACACGTAAATAACTTTCCTGCATAAGACTGATTTTTCAGTCTGCATCCTTTTGGATAATATAATTCATTGAAACTTGTATAACACTTGCACAAGGTACAACCACACAGTCCTTTCGTGGCTTACGTCAACACTTTCAGTACAGTGTCTCTTCATACAAAGCATCTGACGGAATCCTTCTTCCATTTTCTAGATTGGTGTATTGACGCTGGCAAGAAGAGGGTTTTGCTTCTGATCTGTAACTTATTTTATGACTTTTGAATAACCTTTTTGTGCTTGAAATATAAATGAATTAACTTTAAAGAAAAAAATCATTTACCTCTGGAAACTTTGTATTTTTCCTGAAAAATTATATAAAGTACTGTTATTTATGGACTTGAAAACGGACATTTTTATGAAAAAAATTTACTTTGATCATATCTTACTTTTAAGAGATTTCCAAGCAAAGCAGAGGAGGACACCTACAGCAAAAGTAGCCACCACAGAAACCAGCACACTGCAGTCTATAATATTTGTTACTTCTGAATTATTAAAAACAGAAGGATAGATGATTTTCATATAGCCCCTCAATCGCTTATTGCTAGATTTGACTTTCAACAATACAAACTTGTAAACAGGGCAAAAACTCTCCCCGACATTTTAGAGATGGAATCAGTTGTAAAGGAAGAGTAAGCATGCCCGTCATACGCAACAGGTATTCATCTGTTGCACAAAAATATTCCTTTGTTAAATTGAGTATAAACACTGAGACATAGCAATTTGTACGAAACACGTCAGCCAAAATATTATCCTCATAATAGGTTGTGCTTGCAAACAAGGTCAATATAACGACAACAGCATTCACGAAATGTTTACTTTATTAACAAGGTTGATGAAATCCTTGTAACATTAACTTTTTTAATAAGTAATCTGCCTTAGTCCTAAAACTGATCGTACTCACATGTTTTGCGTATCGAAAAAGTTGGGAGATGTACACACTAAATATAGGTGATAGCGCAATACATGTATAATTAAATAGATAAGGAAATTGGCAATGGAAAACATCTTATAATAATTTATTTAGTTTATCGTAAGTTATTAGATGGTATTGTTTATTAGGCCTATAGTCAGTAAAATAATCAAATATGAATAACATATAGCAGTCGCAGTTGTGACTTTAATTTTAAATTGACTGCAGGAATAGTCAAAATGTGGATGGTATTAAGGACTATTAACTATTGTTAATTGATAAAACGTCAATACAATTGAAGTTAAAGGCCATAGAAAGTATTTTCCTGGTCTCACGTAGAAGTTTTTGAAAATATTCTGGTTTATAGGAATATAAAAACGGATCAGCAAAGAAAGGAAAAATACGGAAGCCCATTTAGGACCTATCAAAAAATATTTTTGAATTCGTTATAACGATTTTTAGAATTAGTTATAACGAATTTAATTTGTTATAACAGATTTATTGAATTCATTATAACGAATTTAATTTGTTATCACAGATTCATTGAATTCGTTATAACGAATTTAATTTGTTATAACAGATTTATTGAATTCATTATAACGAATTTAATTTGTTATCACAGATTCATTGAATTCGTTATAACGAATTTAATTCGTTAAAACAGATTTATTGAATTCGTTATAACGAATTAAATCTGTCATTACAGATTTGTTGAATTCGTTATAACGAATTAAATCTGTTATTACAGATTTGTTGAATTCGTTATAACCAATTCAAGAATTTGTTTTAACGAATTTTTGAATTGGTTATAACGGATTGAACAAATCTGTAATAACAAATTTAATTCGTTATAACGAATTCAATAAATCTGTAATAACAAATTAAATTCGTTATAACAAATTAGTGAATCTGTTATAACAAATTAAATTCGTTATAACAAATTTAATGAATCTGTTTTAACAAATTAAATTCGTTATAACGAATTCAATGAATCTGTTATAACAAATTAGATTCGTTATAACGAATTCAATGAATCTGTTATAACAAATTAAATTCGTTATAACGAATTCAATAAATCTGTTATAACAAATTAAATTCGTTATAACAAATTCTAAAAATTGTTATAACGAATTCAAAAATATTTTTTGATAGGTCCTAAATGGGCTTCCGTAGAAAAAAGTGATTTTCTTTAAAAAAAAAAAACAACACAAACAATCAGTTTATAAAAAAAAATATCCGACTCTCAATTTTATTGAAAAAGCAGATAGTAATTATATCAAAAAGCATCGTTTAAATTGGTTGTGAATGGCTGTATAAAAAGACAAAGGTACATTTTCACAATATAGATGGTCATTAAAAAAGAAGATATTTTGAATTTCAATTCCTTCTCTCAAATCACATCACGATATCTTCGAATGATACACGGATCTACTCTCATAGTGATTTGTGTTGTTCTTATTCCTTGTATTGAATAATATGTGTTTTCTCAAACACATTATATGTATGTTCTCTTATAATCTTCTCTTCATGAAAATATTTTTATCAAAGATTTACAACATTTGTTAGATAAATATACATAGAGTCTTTTAATGCTCAGAGCTTTACCTTGAATAAAAGAGTTACTCAACAAAAGTTCATTTTTTAAATAAAAATATCATTAGTACAATACTTAGTATATATTAATAATAAATAATATCAAATTTCCAACTATATACTCGAAAACGTCAAATCAAGACTTCTTCTATCTAAAAGAAACTAAGAATTTTTTTTTAATTTTTGTATATACAAAATATATCAGAAAATAAAAATCATTGAACGTCCAAAATATCATAATTGCTAAGAATCAGCACTGTTTGATATATACACGTAAATAACTTTCCTGCATAAGACTGATTTTTCAGTCTGCATCCTTTTGGATAATATAATTCATTGAAACTTGTATAACACTTGCACAAGGTACAACCACACAGTCCTTTCGTGGCTTACGTCAACACTTTCAGTACAGTGTCTCTTCATACAAAGCATCTGACGGAATCCTTCTTCCATTTTCTAGATTGGTGTATTGACGCTGGCAAGAAGAGGGTTTTGCTTCTGATCTGTAACTTATTTTATGACTTTTGAATAACCTTTTTGTGCTTGAAATATAAATGAATTAACTTTAAAGAAAAAAATCATTTACCTCTGGAAACTTTGTATTTTTCCTGAAAAATTATATAAAGTACTGTTATTTATGGACTTGAAAACGGACATTTTTATGAAAAAAATTTACTTTGATCATATCTTACTTTTAAGAGATTTCCAAGCAAAGCAGAGGAGGACACCTACAGCAAAAGTAGCCACCACAGAAACCAGCACACTGGGGCCAATAAAATACAACAAAATAGTATCTGGAAATAAAAACTTAAAGGAGATAAATAATAGGTCATCAAATCATATCAAATGAAATAATTTTTGACGTTCGGGTCTATATATTTTCTTAATGATATAATGAAAATTTGGAACTATTGTCCGAAGAGTCTCATTTTTTGTCTCAAAAACCATCGTCCGTTTCTGGAATTGTGAAAGGGTTTTTAAAAGAAATGACGAGCTGGAATAAGAAAAATAAAAAAGAGGGTCAACAGAAGAAAGAATGCAACAACTTTGTGTTTTATAGCAACATAAAAGATTAAACTAAAAACCAGAACTTATTGACAAGTATACAAGTACCTGTTTTATCGTCACCTTTCAATGTATCCTCTTTAAATTTTAATTTCTTTGAAATATAAATCCGAGTGATGTCTTTGCAATCATAATTTACAGCGCCTGAAAATGAAAATAGGGGCTTTGCATGAAGATGAGCTTAGAATTTTATTTTCTTTAACAGTACTGCCTAAAGATGCCATCTTAGAAAATAGGTTTATGTTTTTATGTTGTTTTAAAATTAACTTGTTTTTTAGAGCTCATTATGTATCATTATAAATTATTGAAAGGCATGCAAATGAGAAAAAATGAAAAGTGAATAAATGCCATTTAAGACAGTAAATGTCAAACATTTTATCATTAAGCTTAATTATTTAGTATAATTCTAATAACATACATGATTAGAAGTAAATTGGAGTTATAAATAGTGAACAGTTCTCATATTATGAGTTTTTTTTTTGGTAATTTTGGATTAAAGATATGGGTATAATTTAGAAAAAAAATTGACAGAAGAAATTTTGACTGGAATACTAATTTTGTTCTTAATTTCATTATCTACTTCATTATTTAAAGCGTTCCATTACTTTGTATACAAATGTATTTGCTGAGAACTAATGTCATAATCATAATGCAAAATATTAATAGAGATGTTATTAAAAGGTCATTAAAAGTAGATAATTGAAACCACAGTCATAGCTCTACATTTTACAATAAGGTGTTTTTTCACTGCCGCCTGTGTGTGAGGGTGTGTGTGTGAGAGGGTGAGGGTGTGTGTGGGTGTGTTTTTGTCCATTTGTGCAATTCTCTACCTTTTAATTGTATTGATTTGCCTAAATCGCATATTTCTTTCAGTAAGAGGAAATATACATGTTTACATCTATGATGCTTTTAGTTTCTACTATAGAACAGCTTGCACATATAATAGTAAAGTGAGGGGAAAATATCACCTTCCAGTCAACCTGTCCTGTTTTGCTGATGAGCAAGGCCTATGAATTTCATCGACAGACAGAGATAATGGATGTCTAATACACATAAGCGAAAAAGTAAACTTATACCTCTTGCTTCAAACCAAAAGAAGGAATTGAATTTAGACATTGGCGTTGTTTCTATCTCAAGAGCCTTTGAATTGTACTCCGAGTCGTTAAAATATGCAATGAATTTTCCATTGCTGAAAATCCCATCATAAATGTAATCCCTCCTATACGGGCGGTATGGTAATCTGGGACTTTGATACACTGAAAAAGAAAAGATGAAAACAATTACTGTGGCCTCCAATTCGACATTCAAATTATGTAGAAAACGCATTATCGATTGGGACATTTCAATTTTTTTTTTCTCTGTTTAGCGTCCACCCTACTGTAATAATCCTACCGACCTATTCGCAAAAAAAAAACCACAAGTGAAAAAACCCAACAAAGTCACAACAATGACATTATACAAAGAATTGATGTCATTAATATTTTTCATATAGAAAGACCTATTCATTAGCAAACTCAGGGTATTAATTCAAGGTATGAAATGCTTAAAATATATCTTTTTTGACATAAAGTAGATCGGCCATAAGAAAAAATGACAGAAATTTAAATATTTCGACCAGAATTTTAATTTTTAGTCCTTCATATTTTCTTTTGTTTTCGTGATATTGGCTGACAAAAACTTTACTGAAACCCACTTTGTTTGTAAGAGTTTTTATGAAGTTTCAGATTCCAAAATAGATTTGGTAATTCAAATTCATTTTGTTTGTTTAGGATATTAAATATATTCAACAATGACATATGATTTTGAAGAATTTCTTCCTTAGAAAGGGAACCATGAGTATAAGTGGATTACAACTTGTAGAATTCAAGTCCTTCTAAAATCAGAAAATACAGTTTATACAATGAGACTTACAAACGAAGATAATTATGTTACCTGCTTTGTCAGCAGGGACCAGTACGTACTGATCATGTAATTTATCTAATTCTTTTTTAACATTGAATACAGAAGGAAAGATACTTTTATATTACCCCTCAATCTTTTAATACGCGATTTTAACATAGATCTGATATATTTAATCCATTTTGATAAAGAGTCAACGTCTTCCTTTTCATATATCTGGCCCATCGCGTGGCGTAATTATCTTCAGAGTCCATAATACATTTACATGTATTTATGAAATTCCGACGCAAGTTGAAGGATCGGGGTTCCCTATATTTAGGAACTTTTAAAATTAATGATCTAAAATCCTCATTATTCACGTCACTTGTAACAACGTGTCCAGCAGGACTATAGTTATAGGGTGGAGAAGAACATGATCATGAAGGAAAATTATGTTTCAGATATTCGATATTCAGGCCCAGTGAATTTTTTTTTGTAATTCAAAAGTTTGGAAGCAATAAATTTAATACTTTGAATTTACACCGTTATCATGTCTAAGTCTTATATAAACCACAATGTTAAAATTGAAATTTAGATTACAAAATAGATAAATTTGACACTATAAAAACTACAGTTAACTATAGTTATAACCTTTAAACTTTAATCTTTTTAAGTGTTCACTAAAAACTTTGATTTACCATAACATGCATAATGATAACTTTGACGCTGTAAAAACTTTGTTCAGTTTGATACTATATAGTGATAACTTTGAAAACATAAAATATTGATTTTAAAACTTTGATTTACTCTAGTTATTTATATTATCTTCCTGCAGAGGCCATGAAACCATAGTTTAAAAAATCATACAAAAACGGTCTTTCTGTTAAGAGAGGAAGGACAAATCATATACAATTAAGATGAAGATACCTTGCATAACTTGTGTACGAATTTAATGTATAAAAATTGTTTTCTTTTGTTTTTTTTTTTAATTCATATTATTCTTTGCTGTCTTTGCTGAAGTTTCAAGTGCATTTTGTTACCTTTTATAAGAGAGCCGTTGATATGTCTGATCCTTGTAATCATATTTTCGTAGATTTTGATTGTAATCGATGTAATATCTCCAAACAGGAAACATCGACACAAAGAATTACTCCGAGTCCGGTAAAACTGAATAGAAGTCGATGTTGTAATGGATGCTTTATCAGAACACATATCCAGGAGATTTTCATCTGCAAAGAATAGCTACCGCTATGGTATACATGTAAGTTTAGTTTGAAATGCAAACACGCACCTTACATACCCTTACAGAAACCCACACACCCTCACATACATGCAGAAAGAGAGAAAGAGAGAGATTTTCTCAAAGTAGCTCAAGGTTTTGAGTCACTTTTCACAAATTTTATCCTAGGCCATAACTTGAGCAGTTGGTACCAGGCTTTTTATCTATGCCATAAGCTGCCATACGGGAGCATCGGTTTTTCACAAACACAGTCATCTTGTTTTCGAGACAAAACGCACATTTATGTTGTTGAAGGTGATCATGGCAGGGAAATTGTAATTAAGGACATATTTTTTATCATTTCATTTTTAACAACTTCATGAAAGTAAAAATATTGTAAATACTTATTTAAAGATTATTTTGCCTTCGTGTTGAAATATATAAGTGTAACCTAAATACCCATGTACCCTTTAGAAATAAAAAAATTAGGGATGTCAAATCGGTCAATTTTTAATACTCGGTTACTCGGACGTTTTTCCGATCGAGTACCCGGGTACTCGGTAAAAGTGTAAATAAATTTGAACAAGTATAAATTCATGACTGTAAAACATTGTAAACCCTTGTAGAAATAAAACTACATGCTCTTATAGAAGGTTTACCCGTAAATGTATTTCTGTTGTAACAATGATGAGCACTTCATGCCCGACGAAATTTAATATAAATTTTTTTAAGTTCAATTTATTTATCAGATAAACACAAGAAATAAAATCATCATAAGTGGTTCACAGTGTTATTGTTAAAAAAACAATACTCTCCGTAATTGTAATGTAACTGTTTGTTGGGTTTGACGTCCAGGTATCAGTCGTCAGATCTTCGTACAGTATCAATTTGAACTTGATCAAGTTCTCCTAACAGAGCGGATTTGCGATTTTCGTTCACTTGTTCGATCCGAGATTTGATAGTATTACGGGACGGCATTTTGTAGTTTGGTGCAACGATGGACATCAGTTTTTTAAAGCCTTTGCCTTTAACATGTTTAACCATTTGTATTGGCATGTAATCAAACACAACCATATCAACAATCGCACGTTTAATATCATCTGTCTCTTTTCCCGAGAATTTACGCTTCTCAGAGAATTGACAAAATTAACTAATTTATTTAAACATAATAGACCTTAAACGATGATCAGTGAAAACAAATAATTAAAGCAAACCAAAAATAAGGGTAGAAGACAGCTGAAGGTGAGAAAAACCAGGTAACAGGTGCATGGTCACGATAATTACTGTATAAACACTGCCACAGGCGATAACGGTCATTCAGAGGCTTAGGAAACCCTAATAGTAATTACTGTATGTACAAGTGCAATGAGCATTTTACGTTTTAAACATATTGTTTAATGCATTTATATATAAGCTAAGAAATATTCAAAAATATACATCCGAGTAACCGAGTACCGATTTTAGTATTCGATACTCGGACGTTCGATCGAGTACCCGGTTAACCGGGTACTCGTTGACATCCCTAAAAAAAATATATAAAATCAGTACAAGATGTAAAGCTGAAAGGGTTGAAAATGTGTACTCATCATACTTCAGTTTAAATTATACCTGTTGAACATCCATAATTGAGACAAAGCTTCCAATTCTGGCTTGTGCACTTATTGAAATAGTATTCAGCTTGTTTGTAGAACGATGTCTGTGAGAGATGACATACGTTTTGAAACTTATTACACTTTTTCAATGTGTCATTTCCATCCTCCCAAAGTCTTTCTGTAAGCTCCCAACGGCCCATATATCTCCGTGGACAGATGCGTCCTTTCCGCTCAGATCCATCCTCTGTTCTCACCGTGTATTCCGTAACAGTAACTAGAGAATTCACTGGGCACGTCAGTACTGCATTTGTTTGCGTCGAAATTTCCGACTTCTTGACGCACATTTCATAGCGATACCCAGAAACTTTAAAAATAAGCATAACAGATTAATTTTAGTTAGGACAAAGAATTAAATGAATATTTGTATTCTCATTACGAAATAAAAATTTACAGATTTTATTTCATGTTCATAAATGTACAATCTGATTTAAATCTTTGTTACGCTCTGAAATTCAGATGGTCGCTGTACAAAGAAAATGTACGAACAATTATATCTGTAGTTTACACAGATGGTAGAATTGTTCGATTTTCAAAAATTAAAACTGCTTGAAATACTCTTCTTAGTAAATATGTCAAAATTATATTTAAAGCTTTACCTGCTCTAAGAATCCAAAAGCAAAAACATAAAGCGTACATTTTTTCCTTTTCTAACACATTAATATGAACATAATTTCCTCCCAACGTTTGATATAATTTTTAATATTATCACGTGACTTAAACATTTAAATGAAATATTTTCTATTTTATACGTATTAATTCCGAAAATGCTGTTAAAACGATATAGGAAGCCTAATCTAGAATTTTTGAAATATTTTACTTCTTTGTAAAAACAAATAGAGGTACTATGAACTCAAGTAATGATACCCCCGCCTCCCATATGATTATAGTGGCAAAGTCCATGTTATGCCCTGGGAAACCCGAAATACCGTAAGTGTTAGATCAAGAGTAAAATAGGAGGTGCACAACGGCATGATATGATAAAGAACCTAATATAACAAAGAACCTGTGAAAGTATCATCCAATCTTATTCAGTGGTATAGGAGGAGTTGCGAATAAAGAGATGGCTACCGTTCAATATTATAGAATATTATAGAGTGGCAATGTCCATGTTTTGCCATGGGAAACCCGAAAAATGTGTCCGATCAAGAAGTAAAATAGGAGATGCACCATAGCACTATGTACCAAGGAATATGTGAACGTCTCAGTATGGCAGTGTCAATGTTTTGCTATCCGAAATATGTTTCCAATCAAAAAGTAAAAAAAGAAAGTGCACAATAACAAAGAATCTGTGAACATCTCTTTAAATTTCATTTAGTGGTATAAGAGGAGTTGCGGATAAGAGATGGGTACCCCAACGCGTAACAGGCGGACGGACGGACGGACCGACCGACCGACACCCCGATCACTATATACCTTCCCAACTTTTCAATCGGAGGTTATAATAATCTGGATAATCAAGGGAGTCGGTATAACGAACATACAAAAATATGATACTCTTTGGCGGGACAGGGTGAAGGACATTTCAACAAAATTGCAAAAGGTGCAAGTGAGCGGAGAATTACCTATGAAAAAACAACAAGGAATTTTCTTGGGTAGATTCCATTTAATTTTTAAACAATCACCGTACGCGTATTGTAAGTATACGAGGGTTTATCAAAAAATTCGTGGACTGGTGCCGTTAAATTAATACTTTGTAGTCTGTGCTTACAAATTTTATAAGGAACATAAAACGTTTTAAGAAATGTTGCAAGTTTTAGCTTGGTACGTAGATAATTTGCAATATTATTGTAAAAAATAAACTAGAGGTACTGTGAGCAATGAGCTCACTAAATGATACCCCCGCCTCCTATATGACTATAATGGCAGTGTCCATGTTTTGCTATGGGAAACCCAAAATATGTGTCGAATTAAAAAGTAAAAAAAGAAGGTGCACAATAGTAATATGTAATAAAGATTCTTTGAAAGTTACATCAAATTTCAATAAGTGGTGTGAGAGGAGTTGCGGATAAGAAATGGGTACCCCAAAGCATAATAGGCGGACAGACAGACGGACGGATGGACGTACAGACATACCGGTTACTATATACCCTCCCGCTTTTCAAGCAGGGGTATAAAAAGACATTATATGATCATCCGGCGCTGTCGCTGTTTATGCCTAGGTCACATTTCCCGGCCGGTGGCCGTAGACCGGTGGTAATCGCTGGTAATCCGTGGTGTGAGCGATGCCCCAACATCGGTCCACATCGGTCCAGTAGTCCTTAAAGTATCAGTCACATTATCAAGCGATGGGGTATACGATGGGCAACCAATGCGTTTTTTGATAAAAATGGCGTGGTTGCCGGACGGACTTACAAAGGCCCAGCGATGCATTACTTGTCATAAAACGATGTTCCAGGGTAATCGACCGATGTATATTACATCGCTCATACATTGGTGAACATCGTTTGTACGTCGGTCGACTATGGGCCAATGTTTGGTCGAACATTGACCAATGATCGGCCAATGTCTGTTGCCCACCACTCAACTGTCCGATGATCTTACATTCAACGGACACTTAACGATGCTCGGCCATACATCGGCCATTCCTTGAAAGATGTGTAAATGATTGGTTGCCGATGAGGTGCGATGTGGGACATCGGTGGAGACATCGCTGATTTTTAACTACGAATTATCTTCTACCGATGGCCCCGCCGATTCGCAAAATGGCCTCAGTCACTGTCCGATTACTAGTGGTGTCCGGCCGGCAACCACGCCATTTTCATCAAAAAACGCGTCGGTTTCTCATCGTATACCCCATCGCTGGATAATGTGACTGATACTTTAGTTTCCCTCTACCTCAATACTTATCTAGTGGAGATTCTCTAGAGTAAGGTAAGTACGTAAACCCGTCTTGGTATATGGCTTTGCAATGTAATGAACACTGCATGCTTTCAATGCATATAATGCAGTAAATGGAAGTGTACTGTTACTCGTTTCCCAGCTCGGGACTCGTCCTAGAAATACACGAACACTTCTGCAATATCTGGCAAGAGCATACGGGAACGCAAATTTGACCGCTTCTTGGTGAAAATTTGTGCCTTATACATCACTCAGCTTCATTTGACTTATGTGAGAGACTTCTAGATATGATTTTGCTCCAAACACTCTAATGGTACCGAGAATTTTACCTCAAATAAAGGGGACAGACTTCAATTTAAGTGTGTGGCACTCGGAGGTGAAGATTTTAGTGGAGTCCGGGGGAAGGAATAATTTTTAGTCATTGTATTTCAATCGTAATTCTTAATATCTGCTCTGTTTTAATGATCAATAAAATTCTGATTAATGTCAAATTTTATGTTTGTTTAAATTTGATTTTTTTGTGCGTCTTTCCACAGATTCCACACGGAAACGGTAACCGCGCGTAACTTTCAACTTCTACAAGAAAAATAGATTTGAAAAAACGAGTAACAGTAAGCTGGGATATCACTGTGTTCCGCCGTAAATGAATTTAGGATTACTTTCATCTCAATCACTGTAGGAAAGCTAATCAGGTCAATGTACATTGCAAATTCCGCTTCGAATTCCGCACCCCCGTATGTCACCATTCTGCGCCCCCATATATGGGGTTATGCACGGTGTTAAAGAAGTTGAAGAGTAGTTCTAAGGTTTAAGAGAGAAGAATGCGAATATCCTCTATACCCTGCTGATTTAATATTTTAATACGGATGGTGGTTTACACATTATAGGGGCAATATACTATAGTCTGGTTAGCGGGAGGGAAACAAATTTTATCATATATTTTAATGATACATATATCAGTGTTATCTATGAACTTAAAGTTCTCATTTCGCTAGTCCTATGCAATCTTTAAGTAGTATGTTGACAAACATTTTTCATACGAATTTTTCCGTTTTCCCCGATCATGACAAGGAACAGAAGGCGGATTTGACCGGTCGGCAGGGGATATACGCCTACATGGCACCTGATCCCACCTCTGATGTTTTAGAGGTCCATGTTTGCTTCGATATTGATTTCGTAAGTTCTATGGTCGATACAATGACTTTGACAGCAAATACAATTTATTATTGAGTGAAATGCTGACTGAGGTTTTCATACTAATTGTTAGTTCATTATTTATACACTGAATTGACGACGAATTTTCCCGTTATTTCCCGATCATGACATGGAGCACACGGAGGATGTGACCGATCGGCAGGGGATTCACACTCCTCCATGGCATCTGATCCTACCTCTGATGTTTTAGAGGTCCGTGTTTGCTCTGCTCCTATTTTTTAATGTTTTATGGACTTTGATAATGAATACTGTTCGTTATCTCCATATCCTTCACTTGATTTGAATTGTTCAAATGAACTGTTTGTTATTTACAATTTTATTGAAGAAAAAAAGGCTTATTTATCTATATAAAGAATCCAGTATAATATTTATTCAAAGAATAAAAAAAAACACCCATCCTCCATATTCATTGTAAGGCCTTTGTTTTTATGCTGAGTTTTGTTGACATAGGATACTTACTCCTCCTCGACACCTGATCCCAATTCTTTTTACGCCCGTTCACAAAAAGTTTATGAGATCGATCGTTGTTCATTATATACTCACTTTTTAATCTCGTGACTGGACTCGCAAGTCAGAATATCATTTTGTATGGAGAATGCCTATATAAAGGAAATTTGAAAATGTTTTTTTTTTAATTGTTTGCTTCAACTTTGTATTGTAATATCTTCTTTAAAATGTACCAATTGCGCCCCGTTATTAGCAGACTTGTTTTTGTATTCATATGAAGCAGAATTTATGCAAAATCTTAAAAAGCGTTAAAAGAAGAATGAAAACACTTGCTGTGACCTTCAACTCGTCATTTAGATATATCGACGACGTACTGTCAATTAACAACGGTTATTTCCATTCTTATGTCAATTCGATATCCCGGTGAACTTGAGATAAAAGATACCTCAGAGTCTGACACATCTGTTTCATATTTTTATAATTTACTTGAAAAGGACAATAGTAATCTAAAAACCAAGCTCTATGTGATAAACGTGATGACTTGAACTTTATAATCGTCAACTTCCCTTACTTATGCAGCAATATTCATTTGTCAACTGGATATGGAGTTTATTCGATACACAAGAGCATGCTCTACGTAAGAACAATTTCTAAAACGGGGGAAATTATTGACAAACGAGTTGATGAAACAAGACTTTCAGCAGTCTCGTTTAAAGTCATCATTTGGTAAGTTCTATGGTCGATACAATATTAAAGAGAATTTAACGGTTGTTTTTTCACTTATCGTTTTAACATAAATAAAATTTAAAATTAACATTATTATACAGCTTATTTGGGATCCTATGGTTTCTATTTCAGGCAAGTTGTCAAGTAATGCTAATTATATACTTGACGAACTTAAACCAAACTGGAAATTTCAGGAACAAAGTCTCGTTTGTAGAAGAACTTTAAGTGTAAACAGGCGGGCATTTTATATCAACATTTTGATTAATAATGTTCGATAGTTTGTGATCTAGCAGGTGTATTGAGTTCTACCTCTCTCAATGAATAGTGCTAACTATTTAATTGCATGTACATATTTTTGGTCATTCTCCTGAATTTTTGTTTAAAAAATTTAAATTTTTCTTTTTTAACATTACGAACATTGTTACCTCGTTATTGGTCTTTTTAAAAGTATCTTCCTTGTTTTCAAATAAATTACCATTTTTTAGAGTCTGGTGTTTTTAACTTATAACTTCCTGTTACAATGAACCTATTTTAAACACTTGTGAATTATTTTTATGTGTAATAATGATTTAGAATTAATGATTGGAGGGTTCTTTGGGAAAAAAATCTCAATATTTTTTTTAATATCAAGGACCCATTTCCCACGCATTAAACGTACACTCTTCGTTATACGAGGGCCGTTCAAAAATTACGCGGACTTGTTGCACAGAAAAAAATATACTGAAAGGATTAAGAAACGCATATTAAACTTTTGAGTTTAATTAAAACAATTATTTCAAAAATGTTTTCCACCATAGTTATCATACATTCTAATCCATCTTTAATCAACAAGTTACCAAAATTTTGTGTGATTTTGAGTGATAATTCTTGAGATATTGATATCAATATGTCGACACACCCCAAAAATAAAACTAAAAATTCTCGTAATCTCCCTTTTGCATCAGTAACAAACTTGATTTTTCTGTGCATTGAGTTCACCAGAGCATTTTTCTTTTTCATAACATTATTATTCAACCCTTCCGTCGGTAGTCTTAATGGCTGAGATTAGCTGTATTATTCCAAAGCAAACAAATCCCCCTGCCCAATCGAATACGAATTTTCGAATTAGGATAGAATGTACGGAACCCAGCAGGTTTGGTACACGTGGATTTTTGAAAAGAAAGGCTCGACAAACACTAGCTGAATTTTTCCAGTGTAAAAATGCTAAAAAAAAAAATCACGCAAACGACGCTTACGTGCGCGTTTGAGAGTAAAATCGACGTAAAGTGGCCAAGTTCGTGGCCCAAGTTAGAGCAGAGAGTTTCTGTCAATTTTAGGATGAAAAAATTAGCATGATTGTCTGCTGTATAAATATCAGTTTCAGTGATAATGCCTTGACAATAACCGAGGTGGCATGATGAAAATCCCTATCTTGTTGTGACGTTGTTACGCGCCAACGTCGCCGTCATGGTTGGTTGGAAACATTTTAAGTTAACTCTCTGACAACCAAAAAAAAACCTTTTATTTGGTTGAAAAGTTGAAAACAATCTGTACAGCAGCATGTTTTTGCCTTTTTACTAACTTATGCAATTTTGAATTCAATTACTAAACCCACAGTAGTTTCCGTCAGCCATACCACGATTGCAAGAAATTTATACTGACTGCAAATATGCAAAAACGATGACTATAACTCTAATGCATCGTATGACACTACAAAATTTTATCACAAAATTATCATCATCAACATGCACGTGTTTTTGACTTTTTATCATTCCCCTATGTGACGCCATACATTTCATGGTTGAGTAGTTTTGACTAGCGATTTTAGTGCTAAGTAACCAAAATTCACATCTGACCAATTTTCATTTTTTTCGGCCACATAGTCAAAAAAATTTCCCATATTATGTTCTGATGCGTTTCTTTTTCCTTTCAGTATATTTGACGACGTAATCGGGCAAAATGTCACACATAATATAAAAGAATCTTTACTTATATGGTCTTCAAAATTTCATATCAAACTGTTGTAAATTGGTATCAATTTTGAGTGATTTATCAGAACATATCATTGAGTCACGGAACAGCAAAATCTTCGACGTCACAGGCATTATAAAAAATGTGTGATTGAGCTTTCATTTTCTCAACATTTTCCCAAGAGCACCTGTACAGTTTGAGTTTCCTTATCTAATCAGCATCCAAACACCATTTCTTGTCGGGCTTAAAATCTATTAAACAGGTAAAGAATATTCTTTTTTGTTTTAAAACCAAAAACTGCAGGTATTTATGAAATATAGTGTGATATTGGTGACTCTCAATCACGTTCTTTACAGTGTGTATAAAGTTTTCGTCGATAATCTTCTTCCCGTCCTCCCGTGAGCCTTTCTACAGAGGTCTAACGGTCTAAAATTTCATTTTGCTATATTTGGACGAATGTCACGAATACCCTTGTTTACTACATGTTTTATTATGTATATTTTGGATCTATGTTGGCGATATCTCGAGCATTAGACATAATTTAACAAAAGTGTGGTGCGCGGTCAATTCAGGAGACGTCTTTTTCACAGTCGTTTTCACGGGAATCGCATCGGAAAAAATCACTATAATTCTGTTAGTACTTCTATACGGTGGCTGGTATAGGACATGGTGTGAAAATTTTTTTAATTAATTCGTGGCCACGAAATAAAATTCGTGGGAACGAAATAAAAATTCGTGGCCACGAAATAAAATTCGTGGGAACGAAATAAAAATTCGTGGGAACAAAATAAAATTCGTGGGAACGAAATAAAAATTCGTGGCCACGAAATAAAATTCGTGGGAACGAAATAAAAATTCGTGGCCACGAAATAAAATTAGTGGGAACGAAATAAAAATTCGTGGCCACGAAATAAAAATTCGTGGGAACGAAATAAAAGATAAAGATTCTAGTGCATGTATTGACAGATCGGGTTCGTGACGCCAATGTGTGCAATTTTCAATAATTAATGATGATTCAGGCATATTATTCAATACCCATAACGATTTTAAACAAAAATCCATTTTGCTCAGTCCAATTGAATGATAAAAATAAGTCCGTTCATCTTGAATGAAGCTAAAAAGGACATTATATAACACAATTTTATTTCGTGGCCACGAATTTTATTTCGTTCCCACGAATTTTATTTCGTGGCCACGAATTTTATTTCGTTCCCACAAATTTTTATTTCGTGGCCACGAATTTTATTTCGTTCCCACGAATTTTTATTTCGTTCCCACGAATTTTTATTTCGTGGCCACGAATTTTTATTTCGTTCCCACGAATTTTTATTTCGTTCCCACGAATTTGATTTCGTGGCCACGAATTTTTATTTCGTTCCCACAAATTTTTAATTCGTGGCCACGAATTAATAAAAAAAATTCTCATACCATGTCCTATACCAGCCACCGTACTTCTAATATCATGCAAGAAATCTAAATACATAATAATAGAACAATTTAAAGATACGTTTGAGAAAATTGTCGAAAAATATCGCTAATTATAGAAAATTAATGAGTTAAATTTTGGATTCAGCATGCTTTTGCTTCAATTTTTTGTCGTGCTCCGTACCTCTCCATCAGCGATATCAACATACCGATAATTTTCGTAGAATTTTTTTGAAATACAGAAATTTTGCCCAAAATTTATTCGAATCTATAAGATACGTATTTCTGTGAAATTTCATAACTATATGACGTCTGTAAGAGTAAATAATAGCACAATCCGCGTAATTTTTGAACGGCCCTCGTAACTTAAGTGAAGGTACTGCTAATAGTTTCAAACAAGGAAATCTTTATTATTAATAGTTTGCTTAATTTTTATTCAAAACAATTTTTATAATAAAATATTCATTTTCAAATATCTTGGATAATTTTTTTTTAAATTTAAATAAAATTAAATTTTAGTGGATAAATTTGCTATCAATTCCGTGTTACCTTATCAAGAAAAGAAACAGTTCATAAGGAAAACAGTTAGAGGCATAACATCGTCTCGTTAATTCTATTTTGAAACTGCAAAAGTCATTCCAGTCTGTAATTTGCGGTCAAGAGAGTGTAAAATACTGGTACAAGATATTTGATAAAAGTTTTTTTTTGGAATAAGAAAATTTCAGTAGAATCAAGAAATGTACAGGGTTTGGAAGCAAACGGTTACATGTAAGAACAATTTAATTTATATGAGCCCAGTAAAGAAACGTAGACCAGAGATGGGAGCAATAATACTTAGCTAAAATTCTTTTTTAAAACGTCTGGCAATCTTGAAACTAAAATTTGTTTGTCCTCTCCCGACTCAGTAAAACTGTTGAGGTCAGTAGGTACGTGAACGATAAAACCCTAAAAAAAATAAGGAAACAAATATTTGTTTCCAGGAGGTTAAAGAAGTTTTGAGTCGAGTCATTTTTAGGCAGTCAGTCGGGAAATGGCAAACAATATTTTAAAGATGACCTTAACTAAGGTGTCTTTGAGGCCATATCATATATGTACGCATATTGACTTTTTTCTCTGTATAGTATATTTAATTTAAATATCTTGTTACCTGTGTGAGATGGAACAAAGTTGATATTTCAATGCTATATACATGTATATATAGAATGAATACTTAGATGACTCTGAAGTAGTCCTTTGCTAATCCTTTATTAATCTACTTCAGGTTTTCGAAGACATACATGTATTCCAATGAAGAATACATACATTAAAGTGATGAGAAAGTGGTAAATGATAAAATATGATTCAATGTTCACTCTAACAAAGAAAAATGTACTTTTACCTGTCTTTCGTGTTTTCTTCTCTTTAGGTAGAAACTGTATTATTGTTATTAACTAAGCAGATTTGTTTTCTCGACAAAGGTTCGACAAAGCACTTAAAGATTTTCAAGTATCATTGTTTATCAAACAATATTACTAGCATCTGAAGTATCCCAAATGTAAATGCCTCACACAATAAGTTTTGCTACCCAATTAAATGATACATATATCTAGATCTCGACATCTTCTGTCTAAAGTGTTTTATATGCTTTTATTCAGAAAGGCGTTGGTCGTTTGTGCAATTCAGAGATATTTCATCACAACGAACTCTTAAAGTCCTTTCCGCAAAAAAATATACCGGGGATTTTTTCTAGAAAGATTTTGCTTGTCACTGGTTGGTTAATTTTGTTTTGAATTGGTTTTATCAGATTAAATGACCATGTCACATTTAAGAATAGCTACATGGGGAAATCCATAGCATGGATGTTGCTTTTAATAAGTATTTACCCGTACTTTAAAAGGACGAGCACATGTGCGTATATTTGTTTGCTCGCCATGTCGTCTACAATGGAGAAACAACGCTTAAGGAGAAAAAGGATGGTGGATAATAAAATACGACTGTTAAATTTTTACCTTTCCTCTGGAAGGGACTTTTTTCAGGAAGTTTTGGAGGTTTATACGTCTCCTGAGCGTTTATACAGAGCGGTCATTCAGTCCGAGTATTTCTCCAGTCTTCCTCAAGAAGAACAAGAATCGTTAATCTCACTTGACACAGAAAACACATTTTGTAACCTGGAGTTGGATCAGCTGTTTGAATTGTTAAAAAGATTCACAGCAATAAGACAACCTGATTGTTCTTGGTGTGGAAATTGTCTCTCTGGACAGTTTGAACAGGAGCACGTGGGAGAAAATATAGAGACTTTGATGTCAGTGTGGAATGTGGTCAACAGATCGTTTACAGTGTCGGATGAGCTGTATAATAGATGTGTGGGGACACTCACGGACATCGGGGATAACCTTGTAAACCTTTTTGCTTTTGGAAAAGGTTTTCAGGAATCAATCAATCGGGATTTGGGTGGAAAAGGTAGATTTCATTTTTGATCTTTAATTGCTTAATTTTTGTGGGATGATTGTTTGATGGATAACACAGGAAGTAAAAAGAGGAAGAAATTCTAATGAATAAAATAAACAATTAAAAAAAGAAAAACTTCCTTATTGCTTGAAAAATTCCACTATATTTTTAGAATAAGTCCTTTATGTTCATGAAACTTTTTTATATTGCATGGTTCAATGATTCTTTTTTATGCCACCGTAATCGAAGATTTGGGGATACACAGTTTTTGCTTTACCTGCATGTCCATCTGTCTATCTGTCCACGAAAACTTTAAATTTGCTCATTACTTTTGAATGGATGGGGCTCTGCATATGACTTTTATATTTCACAGGTGTATTCCTTGTGCCAAGACCATTCTTTAGGTACCACCAAATTTGAACTCTTGACCTTGGACTTCGACCCACTTTTACAAAAGAAGATGGGGGGATAAGGCGGGCAGAATGCCTATAGCGGGACAGATAAGAAGTGAAAATTCAATCTCAATTATATCCAAATTTTATTTCATATTTCACCTAATATTAAAGTATACTTAATGTAAAATCTCTATAATTTACAAAAATCTCACAAAGACAGAAAATATTCGCCAACGAAAAAGCATACACAGACTAAAAAGAACAAAAACGATCATTTTTTCATATACTTTGACAAACTTTTTCAATATGAGTGGGTCTTCGCTCCATTTTTATACCCCCCGCTTGAAAAGCGGGAGGGTATATAGTAATCGTTAATTCCGTCCGTCCGTCCTTCCGTCCGTCTGTTACGCTTTGGGGTACCCATCTCTTATCCGCAACTCCTCTCATACCACTGAATGAAATTTGATGAAACTTTCATAGATTCTTTATTACATATTGCCATTGTGCACCTCCTATTTTACTCTCTGATCCTACACATATTTTGGGTTTCACGGCCACAGCAAAACATGGACTTTGCCATTATAACTATATGGAGGCGGGGGTATCATTTAGTGAGCTCATCGCTCACAGTACCTCTAGTTTTTATACCCCCCGCTTGAAAAGTGGGAGGGTATATAGTAATCGTTAATTCCGTCCGTCCGTCCGTCTGTTACGCTTTGGGGTACCCATCTCTTATCCGCAACTCCTCTAATACCACTGAATGAAATTTGATGAAACTTTCACAGAATCTTTATTACATATTGCCATTGTGCACCTCCTATTTTACTTTTTGATCTGACACATATTTTGAATTTCCCGGCCACAGGAAAACATGGACTTTTTCACCAGTTATAACCATATGGGAGGCGGGGGGTATCATTTAGTGAGCTCATCGCTCACAGTACCTCTAGTTTTTAAAGATAATCCTAAAAGTTTGCGATAAGATAAATATTTTTTGGTTTACAAAAAAAATGGAGCGAAGACCCACTTACTCTTAAAAGTACACTTTTATGACAACACATTCGTATCTTTCCGAGAAATACTTCAAGTCCATTAAGTTAAGGGTCATATCACAAACATGAATGAAATGCCCCTAATCATCATGAGCCATATCGCATAGTGGTTAGCGCGTTAGCCCCAAAGCAGAATAATACATCGGTATTTTATTGCTGGGGTTCGAATCCCACGTATACCATCTAATATTTTTTATATATGAAATTTTTTAAAGAGATTTATTTTCTCTCAGAAAAGGTTTTCTTCTCAATAATTTCATAAATTTCAATAATGAGGGGTAAATTTAAATACTCAATTTACATATCAAATGTGATTTCTTAATATCTGATGCCATAGGCATTCTTTCCGCCTTATCCACCCATCTTCTTCACATTACTTTGACCTTGGACATGACCTTTGAATGGTTAAGACTATAGGGCTCTTGTAATTCACATATCTAATCCTTGTGACAAGACTTTTTCTTAAAAACTAACAGCTGTGACCCTTCGGCCTTGGCCTTGAGTTTGACATACCTTAATAAACTTTAACATTGCCAAAACATTTGAACAAGTGGTGGTAGGGCTTGTGAGAAGGCCTTACTTTGGGTAACAACACATTTGATTTGCATTTGAGAAAATTTAACCTTCGCTATGATGCCATACGGGGGCATCTGTGTTTTACAAACTCATCTTGTTTTAATTTCTTTTAGTGATAAAATATTTTACATATCTGTAACTCAAATTTTAAAAGAGAAACAGAAAACAAACACATTACAAAGATATCTATCTTTATTTAATTCTATTTCAGGTACGCGTCCCTCCAACCTTCGTATTGTAAACCATGGACAAGGTGTTATCGTGCAAGTCGGGAACAATAACAGTTGTGTCTTGAATGTTGAAGTTTTCGATCACACACAAGCAGACGGCCAAACCAGCTGTGAATCCAAGGATCTTGTTAAGATGATTCTCCACATGGAAACCTCCCCTGGAATCTACGTCGCCCACATAGAAGAGCAGGTCCTCCGGTCGCTGTCCGGGGAAAAGCTGCAGACTGTCAACGCTGTTCTAAAGGACAAGTTTGGTGTAGAGATCGTGGTTCAAAGAAAAGGCTGCATAGTTCTAGTGCTGCGCAGAATTAAAAACTTCTCTACCAGACGTCTGTTAGATACCTGCTTTTTGGAACAATTCTTGGTAGCTTTATTCGGTTTCGCTGGAATTTCCAGTGAAGATATATCTGCGATATCTTTCCGCATCGATATTGCTATGGGAGATTCTGATGACGTAGAAAGATTTCAAAAGACACGTGGTACGTACGATATTCTGATAACCATGAGACAGAGAAAACGAGAAATTGGATTATTATATTTACCATTTTTGTATAGAACAAATATTTTCAAGTATGAATTTAACAAATTCAAAAGAATGAAGAATTTTAATGACAATAATATGATCCGCCAAAAGCTGTATGTATTGTAATTTACTGTTAAATCTTTTTTGTTTACATTTGGTATGATTTGAATTTTTAATATAATCTTTTGAATCTCTTTTCAAAATATAATCACAGACATTGAGTTGTTCCTTTCTCCGGCCAACACGGTGCAATCTTTATCTGTTGAGAGAAAGAAAGACTTGGTGTCTGCCATTGTATCGGGTGCAGCTGGACAGGATATCGGGGGAGTGAGCGGAGAACTTCGAATCCATGCAGAATTCACAACAGATTCCAAAGCGGATGAGAAACACCAAACTCGTAAATATTTAACATTTAAACGACACAGCCTATATCCCTGATGTTAATTATTTCATGAAATATTTGAAGTATTGGTTTGTATACTTGAACGTTTTGGTTACCTTTTTTACTAATTAAAACATTTTTTCTGAAGGTGGGATGATGTTTGACAAGCCTCTTCCTCTAAGAGAACCTCTGAAAGAAAATAGTTTCCTAAAACAGGATTGGATGGAGAGTATGAAAAGTAAAAAGGACTCAGGGAATTCCACCGAAAAATCAGCATCAAGAGTGAAAGATTATAAGCAAGCAGATCCCAATGAGACTTTTAATGGTGGATGTCAAGACTTAAGTTATTTGCCAGAGAAATCAAGGGCAGTGGTGTATTATTTGCTTTCACTCCTTCTCGTTGTCATTATGATGTTGTGCATCCTTTGTTTTGTATGTCTCCTAGGAAAGTCTGCTCTCACATCAGATGTTCATCCTTCTAAAAGTCTATCCAATCTCTCCCAATCGCCCGTACAGAAGATGGTTATAAGGAATTACACAAAAGGACAAATTGACAATTTACTGCAAAACACAAACAAAACGGATCTGGAATATATAGACTTGAGTTTCAACCAATTACAATCAGTGAACTGGACGTCATTAAGTCGGTTTTCCAAGCTTAAGCATCTCGATCTCTCGAGCAACAGACTACAACATCCAAGAGGAATAAAAGACCTTCAGTCATTGCAAACTCTTGAAATGGCTTTTAATTTTATAGAAGAGATGAGCGTGATACATAACCAGTCTAAGTCCAACCTCAGGGTTTTAAACCTACAACATAACAGAATTTCTTCTCTGAAATCCACAGATTTCTCTAACTTTCCGTATTTGGAATATTTAGAATTGTCAGAGAACCCAATTAAGACATTTTCTCTGAATGCATCCATGTTATCTTCCTATATTGAACAAGTGCTGTTCAATAGATGCAGAGTAAAGTTTAATTTGGTGACGGTTTTAATCGATTGCAATGTGTTACCTGAAGACAAGATTTTAAGGGTACATGAAAGGAGAGTTGGGCTTTTGAAGCGCGATAACTCCAAAATATTTCATTGAATTCTTTTCAGAATTGCTTTATAGTTCTTGATGTGCTAAAGTATTAGACATTTAAAATCTATTATTTTCATGACGTTCATTTAAAATTTCAGTTATTAAAAGATATTTAAATGCATGTACATACACTTTTAATTACTTGTATTATGTATGTATCAATGGTAATACATGTAGCACAATTCTTAATTAAACTATTGAAACATCATTTTCCTTTATAATAAATCAGGTGAAGATGTATGCTTTAATAGCTTGTTTTACATGCATTTACATATGTTTGAAAGTATTTTCATAATTTGCCTTATGTTGTCATAGTAATTATGAAATAAATAAGTCACCGGAAGTGACGTGCTGTTCAGTTTACCCGAACTTCACTGTGTCATTTTTTTTTTATTCAAAATTATTGATATAAGTATCATAAAGCAATAATTCATCTTATACACGACCCCCACGATATTTGTAATATTTTCTCTGGGATACAAGGTGTCTGGAGAAACCTGCCTTCTCCGACAAAACATCTTAGTCATCGTTATCAGGGAAAACAGTGTTAGTCATTCTCTTGATAAGGTTTTCAATTGGCAGCGCTATCTTATCAAATTAGCCCATTTGTAAAGTACATGTGAAAATATAACACATCACCCAGGCTTTGATAAATTCAACAGCGATAGTTTATGTTTTATCGTTATTTTATTTTCCTGAAAATGTTTTACAGTCAATTTACAATTCCAACGTTTTTATTTTGATTTTATAAGCAAAGAATTATTTTGTTACACACATAAATTGATGCATTGAAAAGAAAATAACATCGACTGAATGTTGAATTGGAATTGTGAATATTTTTGTTAAAAAAATAATCTTATTGTGAAACACTGATGCCAACGTATGACATTAAGAAAAGATAGACAACATTCCAAAGTCAAGGCCATAGAGTTAAAAGGATTGTATCCAAAAAAAGTATTGTAACAAGGAGCACACGGATGCATAATGAAAGCACTAGTAGCAACAATTCAAACGCTGGGCCTAAGTTAATGAAAAATGTCATAATCCAAAATAAGAAATTTGGGCACCGGTAAAAGGGTTTTGTTTCAAGATATAAGTTTGACAAAAGTAGGCCAAACTCCAATAATTGTTGATACCCAAAGAAGGGTTTGTTAGAAAGGAATCAATTTGGTGCAATATGATAGTCCGAGCAACTATCGTTTTATAGTTAAGGCCAAGATTAGAGTTTTTTGCGTAGAAACTATAAACAGACAAACAAATAAGTGGATAAAACTAATTATATAATTCCGAATCTTCGATTATGGAGACATAAAAAACGAGAGGAATGAAATAACAGAATCGCTTTCATCTGTATGTGGGGTATATATTTTTCAATTGATTCGATGCGCATGCCCTACCTGTGAACATTTTATAAAACGAGGTAAGTTATTGACAAAACAAGTTGTTGAAATAAGAATATCAGCAGTCACGTTTAAAATCGTCATTTCGTCAGTTCTATGGTCGATACAATGGCCTTAACAGCAAATACAATCTATTATTAATTTAAATGATGACTGACGTTTTTCATACTAATTGTTCGGCCATTATTACACACTCCTGTCCGCCGACCTGCAGGCGGTACCAGATTGCCTCAACCTATTTACACACTGAATTTTCGACCTATTTTCCCGTTATTTCCCGATCATGACAAAGGACACACGGCAGAATGCTCACTCCTCCATTGAACCTGATCCCACCGGGTCCTTGTTCTGCTAAAAAATTTCTTTTGTTTAATTAATGGACTTTTTATTTTGAATACTGTTCGTTATCTCCACATACTTCATTTCATTTGCAAGTTACAATTTCTTGCAAACATAACCAGAACACACCAATTTGAATTGTGAAATAATAATCAAACTTTTAAGTTCACATTAAGATTTCTATAATAAATATAGAAGATATTTCATTTATAACCACGTGATTTTTACCTTTCATCTCTGCTCTCTCCAGCGGTGCGGCATTGACACTGCAGGATTTCAACTAGTATATTTTATTACACTAGCACGCCTCCTTATAATTATCTGATAAATATACTATTACTGCGTCGCAAAAACAGTCATCGCATATGTAACCATATTTAAAAAAAAACGAATCATTGTTTATAATAATTTTAGATGAAAAAAAAGTTGAAAATCAAAAATTTCAAAAAATTGTTTAAGTAAATTTATCTAAGTTTAGTCCTTATACTATGAAATGTCGTACATTTGCTTATACATGACATGATGTATTTACATTTGTAGTACTTGTATTATCTTGTCGAAATTAGCAAAGAGGTTAGTTTACTTTTTCTGCAAAATAATTATTTTCAAAATAAACACTTCACTTTAAAGCCCAGACAGAAAAAATATACAGAAAGAGATAACTTTCAATGTCACTGCATTTAGTTAAATGAATGAGAAATCAGAAAATTAATTCAGAACTGCAAAAACCACAGAAACCCACTTGAGAGCTCGCATTAGCTTGGCATTGAGGGAGAGGGTTATCACTTGCGCGATCCTGCACGTGCAGAAATAACGGAAATGAAAACTTGTCATCTGTACTCAATATTTCTTACATGATATATTTTATCAACTCGCGTTTTAAATTATGAATATCAGGTCAAATATCACCAGGAAGTCGAGGATTGGATCTTCGAGAAATTTAGGAAAGGTCAAATGTACCCTGCCAACGTTAAGTCGATTTTGTGTAACACTGTGTAGTAATAAAAACATAGAAAACAATGTCTTCTGTTTGAACGAGACAAGATGTTAGTCAGTCTTCTGCTATGTCGAGTTATGTCATTTGTCTAGAATTTCTACAAAACAGCGGAATCCTAACACACATCTCAGTAGAGGAATGGACTTTCCTGTAGGACAAGATCAAGTGATTGCATGGCTTTTGTTATAAGTAAATCAGACTTGTTACGAACATAACGACATCTGGACTGTCAAAGAGAGCCTCATTAATGCTCTATGTCTTTGTCATATTTATATTATCTAACGCAACATCAAAAGACCTCTCTCCTCCCGGAAAATTACACAGGGCGTGTGCTGTAAATACAGACTCCTAATGTTTCGGGTATGCAAGAGTCTGCAGTCTGGAACCGAGGCCTGCAAAGTGATATAGGTGACCTAGTGTAAAAGCATACTCTTGTTGTGGAAAGTCGACACCCAATTCTGACACCCATAATTATGTCAATTCTTCATTGTTAATTAAGACCAGAGGCCTACATAAGTATCGCCTTCCGAGATTGAGTAGATTTTTATGCTTACAAGACGAGCTGATGTTGACTCGTGCAGCAATGGCACGCGAGAAAACATGCGAGTAAATTACCCTTGTCTTAATTTTATACAATCTTCGTACAGAATGTTTGCAAAAATCCATTATGCAAGTAAAATCGCGGTGAACACGTGTTTCTCATAAAGAGCGTGCGTAAAAAGTGTCTCCCAGCTTTAGCTGTCTGTGGATAGTTTTTGAAGCCATTGAAGATCACTTTTGTGCATGTCTGCTCGTACTCGATCCCGATCTTTAACAGGCGTCATCAGTATATAATACGACCTCTCGTTCCCACGCTATTGTAAACAAACATTATGCAGAACTTTTTGCACAGTGGTTCAAGAAAAACGTGGAAGATGCATTCCGTCAATAGAGATTTCCTCATTTATGTTTTTTGTGTAAAATATAAACAGCGGAAGTTATTCCGTGATTTGACAGCTGTTTTTTTTACACTGTTCTTCGAGAATATGGTCTTGGAAAAGTGCCTACTACACATATTATTTCTACGCAACCGTGGGAATAATGGAAAGGAAGTGCTATTTCATTCATAAAATAAAAATAATAATTTATATGTCAGATTTATCCAAGTTTCATTTTTTAAATCAGTTTCATTAGACAAGCATATATTGCTGTCAAAATTTTAAGGGTTGCCTATGAGCAGAGTATACTTTGGTTAATTATTCTAAATCGTCATAGAATGAAATTATAAAAGGGAACATGTGTTATTAGTATAGTTTGACGTTCAGCGAGCAGCACGACCATTTAAAGATTCCTGGTAATTATAATTATGCAATGCTCAGCATTTCCACTGCCTCTGTTTTATGTTTGTTACTGAACGGGACAGACGACCTTGAAATGTAATTCTGATACAAGACTCGTTCTTGTACAAAATAGGAAAACGCTTCTTCTTCCCCGCACAGGTCACAAGCTTGTGTGTTTAACACGAACACATGGAATATTTTTCAATCATAAATTGTCAGAAAGATCCCTCTTCTGAAGACGTTTGCTGTTATAAATGACACAAGCGACTCGCTACCATTGGCGTGTTCCAAACATTGGGGCCGCTTAGTGTCACAATTAATCATTTGTTTATCTAGATTTTCGGCCACAATTACCGTAGCTAGCATCACTTCACACATCGACATGCTGCAGATCTTCTGCCGTCCCACATGTACGATAGCATCTCACATAAACAAAGGAAACCGTCCAAAAGTGCCAGATTTTATTCTTGGGAAATTTTGAGAAACGTATATTTTCCTTCTGATAGAGACATTGCTTCGAAAAAATTATTTATGTTTGTTAATAATCATAATAATTAGAAAAAAATGAGCATGTAAAAGACGAAAAGCTAACATCAAATCAAAAATATATGTACAGTGTATCTTTCAGAACTTTTTCACGATGTAAGAAATAATATTATGGAGAAGTAAAGACTACAGGATTTGCTTTTCATACAAAATGTCGATGCCTTCAAAAAGAGTTGTCAAATTGGCAGAGGCCAAGCGCACCAAACAAAAGGGTAAAAATACGTTTCAATAAATATACATGTATAAAAATAGAAAAAACAACAAACTCCAAACTGCATACACGACGGTCTCTCCAGCAACCGATCTGTCTGCATGGATAGATTTTATTGGTCGGTTACTACCGTATCTACTGTACAAGTATATACCGAACAGTAGATAAGGAAATATTTGAAGAATTGATTTAATGAAAATACTCATCAACAAAAAAAAAACAATTGTATCGAATACTCTGAATGTAAAATATATAAATGTTTAGCACCTTAAAAATAACTTACTTGAGTAATGTATAGTGTACAGGACTTTAAAAATATGGCAAACATGGAAAATTAAAAAAAAAGTAATAAATAAAATTATTTCAAAATAAATATGCAACACACAACACTCCAGACAGAATAAATAAAAATAAATAATCACACATCATTTAACTCACTTATAAAGCACTTTGGGTTGACAAAAAAATGCACGCTCTCAAAAAAATTCGTATTATATACAATGAAAATGTCAAAATCATTTTTTTTTTTTACATCTTTTGAAGCACTTGGATGTTAAATATGGACTCACAAAAACAGTCATTTGCATGTAGAAGGTTATAAATAGGCGAATTGATTTATTCAAACAATTACAAACATTTCAAAATATGAACCAGTAATTTACTGGAAACTTTAAAGAAGTTATTGCATTGTAAGAAGACATATTCTTATGATTAGCACTAGTTAGAAATCACAAGCTCACAAATAAATTAGCCTTTATCAAATCTTTTAAAGACCTATTTATCTGCTATATATTTATTTAATATATATTTATTCATATATTTAATTTTTTTTATTTTATCGAATACGCTTAAGTTGTTCATCAAGCATTTTTTATGCCAATCTCGAGTACAAGTATAGATTATAGACTTCAAATCCTTACTGTTGGATTTGACAGTAATATTGCAAAGAAAAGGATAACAATTTTAAGGGGGCCGACTATAGTTTTATTGTATGAAAACTACAATAGCGAAACTCTTCATTTTTATACCATATGTAACTATATATTTAAAGTTTAATATATATTTATTCATATATTTAATTTTTTTTTTATTTAAAGCAAATTATACAAATAATAGACATTTTGTTTAAACTATAATGTTGTATACTTTATTATACAATATATGCATTTTTTATTAACAGAGGGGGCATCTCAAAATACAGAAAAATTAGCAAATTTTACTACTTTTATAGAGTACTACAAAATATAACGTAAACAATGGATTAACAAAAAAAAAACATAAAAAAATCCTTACTGTTTTAAATTTCAAGGATTATGACTTTTTCTTTATTATTTTTATATTGCAAAGAAAAGGATAAAATTAATTGCAAAATCGGTTAAAAAATTATTTTATCAATTGTTCTTTTTATATCTAAAATTTCTTAATTTTGTTTAATTTTAACATTCAAAAAAGTTGCATTAAAACGTAATTATAATGCGCGAAATATTGAATGAAAATTCTGTAATATTTTAGGTCATTTGGATGTTGTTACATCACAATAGGTATATTCCACAATTAAGAAGCTGTTTCCCATCATGCTTAAAAGGGGAGTCTCAGATTAGCTCGAGAACAAAGACAGCCCTTCTAACAGACACAGAAAGATAGCTTTATCGTCAATTTCGGACGGACAACAACTAAAAACGAAAGTGTCATGAGGAACGACTTAATGAAAACCACATGAGGCGACATAATGACGTTTTCGGGTGAATATCAATGACGACCAAGTAAAGACCAATGGAAATTTGAATGCTTTGTTCTATTTGGTTCTTATTTACTTGTATATTCTATCGGTACCATTTATAAATAAACCGTCAATCTTAAGATCATTTTTATTAGCATTCATAATTTGTATTTCATAAATACCACTTTTGTAACTTCATACCAAGGATTTTCCATTTCGTAGATTGAAGTAGTACGTTGTTACTTTAAATAGTTCTATGACTAGTTCCAAGATTTTTTTCCCATTAAAAATATTATTCAATCCAATCAAAACCAAAACCAAAAACTACACTTAATTGATTACTTATCAAAATTCCGTTCTGTTTATATTTAGATGAAATAAATGAATGTGCGAACTGACAACGGAAATCTGGCAATAATACTTTATGCCGTGGAATGCTGCTTGTCTTTAAAAATATCCATTTTGATAGATTATGTAAAAGCAAAAATACAATGCATACAATTGTACGACACGTATTTTGGAATGGTCCAGTCTAGATTTGAAATGCATTAAAAATGAAAATTGTGTAGTGACAAACGTGTTGAGATACAAAGAAGACAATGAACTTGGTCGTGATGATTGGAAAATTTACCATGCCATGGTTGACTATGCCAAGCTTTCTGGGATGCTTGGTGATGAGTCTTGATTTGAGTTTTGTCTGTTCCGGTGTTTGTGCGCGCGCACATCCGATGACCTCTCTTCTTTAGAGCGACTTCGTTGACCGCGCATACAAGAGGATTCTTCATGCTTGTACAGGTAGCTCTTCAAAGCAAACGCCTTGCCACACCTTCCACAAACGTATGGTTTTTCTGTTGAATGAGTCTGCACATGCGCCCTGAGGTTTGACTTGTCGGCAAAACATTTTCCACACTTGGGACAATCAAAGGGCTTTTCGCCAGTATGTGTTCTTATATGACCCTAAAATACCATAAAATTTCCATTAATTTACCAAACATTCGATCAATTTATGTTAAAGAGAACTTTGCTCCTTATCTAATTTGTCCTAAATACAAACAGTTATATGCCATATAATACCTGTAGTAGCCAGGGCCTGCTAAATCTTTTTCCACAGTATGGACACTCGCACCCCTGACTGTGAGTTCGGACATGCATGCTGAAGGCTGGCATTGATACGTACACCTTTTCGCAGTGTGGACATTTTCGAGCTTTCTTGTCGCTTGCCGATCTGTGTGTTTGTCTGTGACGGGCCAGGTTACTCGAAGTGCTGTAATGCTTGCCACACTCCTCGCAAGGGTAATTGTTATATTCGTCATGCTCTGTTGTAGATGTTGGTCTTGGTGATATTGGTTCGATAATGGGCGAGTAAGTCGGTTTGTCGAAATTAAGTACTCTTTTAGCATTTATTGGAGCATCCATTTGTTCTCTATGCTCCAAAAGACCATTAGTGTTTCTTATTAGCTCATACAAAAGCGAAAAATGATCGGAGCACTCCGCATGACAGCGATTTATGGGCGAAAATTCGGGTCGTAACTCTGCACTGAAGTCGGAGTACCGGTTATACGGCGACATTTCCACTTCCGTCCTGGGGTCTGATACCAGTGATTGGGTCTGTGTTGCCCGCTTCATTTCCGGTACTGCTTCAGTTGAGTAGTCTCTACATCCACCAGTGTCATCCGGAAACTGAAAGTACGAATAAGATGAGCGCGGTCCCGTGACGAAAGGTGGGGTAGGAGCGTTCGAAATTTTACGAGAGACAGTGTTGCTCTCGTAGAGTCTCGAGAGATCAGCATCAGATGATCGTATTGGTGAAGTTCTTCTTTTTGTTGACAAATCTTTCGGGGAGTCATTATCGGTGTCTATTTCGTTTAAATTGTCTCTGTTTGGGAGTAATTTATTGTCGTGTTCGATGTAAAATATCTGACGATAGTCCACAAATTCTAAATTGTGCTGCAGATTTGATTTGGCGGGATTGTTTTCCCACTTTTGCTGCGTTTCTCCAGCTTCGAAAGGACTTTCATCTTTCCTAATTTCTGCATTTTTGTTACTAGTATCTGAAATTTTAATAAATGCATTTGAAAATAAATCAATTGATCAAACGGCATCGATATATCTAAAGAGCTTAGAAAAATCTTGACAGTCTAAACAGTTTCCTTGAGATTTTTTTTACTCATATGGAGACGCCTGAAAATTTATACCTATATAGTCGGCATTAAGGATCATTGAGCAGTGAAGAATCTTTTTTCGTGCCAACACCTTATGCGGCATGGGACTTTGGTTAATACGTTCTCATACGAAGAACCGGTCACCAATGTCCGATAGTGATCCCGCGACGTAAGGATCAGTTCCTTACTCTGTGACTATGGCACAGACGCTCTAACATGCGGGCGACAGTAGAAATAAAGGAAATTCAATATTAATAATTTTTTTCTCAATGCTTCTTTACGGAAGCTATATCAAAAAGTAGTGTCTCAGGTGGGATCTAGTTGTCAGAGGTGTCAGAAAAGGTGTCTTTATTATAGGTCTATTTACTGGATACATAAACACACCAGGTGTTCAATGATGAGTGTGCAAACGATGCAGAGAGGTGTCAGAAGGCATTTGTCAGCTGTACATTTACAGATGATTCACTTGGCGAGAGATACCATATAATCACATCAGCAGTGGCGATGAGACTGCAGGTGATTCATGACCTTGTGAGCCCTCCAGCCTCACTAGGGGTCAGCCATAAAATTACGACACACGGCAAAACATAAGACCAGTATTTACACTGCATGAGTTTGCAGACTCGGGTAATTATCGTGAAATCAAAATGAGGCGGTATACATGGTATAGATCGGAGCGGTGCCGTCTGAGCTCCCCGCTGCGCGGACACGACTTTGTAATATTCTATACCACATAACTTTAAGAGGTTTGAGAACTTTTGAAATATGACAGTCTGCTCTTCTGTATAAATTCCTTTATCATAAACATATGCAGCAAACAGAAAAATATATTCACCAGTGAAAATGTACATATTGTTAGCAAATATGAAAAGCTTTCAGCTTTTCACTTCACATATAAAATATGACTTGAATTTGTTTTGCAAAGTCTACATAAAGTAGATACTTTAAAAAAAAATAAATATATATGAAGCCATGTCCTTGTAAAACCTAATGGACAAGAGAATAATTACCAGGAGGAATTGTTGTAACAGCTGATATAACAAACTTACAATAGCCCCCTATTAACTTACAATTTGACATAAAGCAATCATGACCCAAAAAGTATCTGGAAGGATAAGTTACTTTCAGGCACACTTAAGTATACTTTAATTAACGATTCTGGTGGCCAATTCATCTCAGAAATACAAATACTGAACTTACAAAATGAAATAATATATTACATATTGGTAAATTTGTCTTTCATAAAGAGATCTGATATTTTATTTCTTAGAATTAATCCTCATTTGCAAAAATAAGCAATAGAAAGTAATTACCTGCAGATAATTCTTTGCTTTTCTTCTTTTCAATTAGAAACCTCCGATTTGTCAATAAAAAGGATTTTGGCATGGTAAATTTCCAGGTGACATGAAATGAGTGCCGATGGTGAATGTTTACGTGCAGCACGTGCGCTTGCTGTCGATCTTCTGGCAGACAAGCCTTCTCTGGCAGTGCTGCCAAGAAGCACGCGCAACAAGTGTCAAAGGCAAAACAACTCCCACTACTGTCCAAAAACCGCCGGAAAGGATAGATGTCTTTTTTGCAAAATTGCAAAAACTGAATGCCATTCTGTTATATTTTTATAACTTTTTTTTACTGCATTGACCTTTGAATACATCAGTTTAAATATTACATGTCAATTTAAAATTTAAATTGACTCCGTATTATTTAAAAATACTCTTTTTAAATTGACTAGTAAAAGTAAACAGTTTAATATCTGCAAAAATCTTTCTGAGGAATTTAAAAAAATATACAGGAACAATTGTAAAGGTTGTAAAGACATTTACATTTTCCCCTTATTATCACACGATTAAAAACAATTTTACTCTTGGTTTTCAGAACATTGAGAACATATGTGATCGTTTTTATCGTGCCATTCATGGTTTCATTGCATTCTCATTGCGCGTGGAGTTAAGTTTCCGACTACATAATTGTTTTAATTCTCAAACAACTTTACAGATCTAGGTTTTTATGCTTGCGTGCCTCGAAAAGCACGTGCTTTACCATATAAAATAGCTTGATAAATCTTCGAAAGTGACATTGTAGTAGGGGGAGAAGGAGTCGTCGCTATGGAAACCAAAAGACATGGATGATACGGCACGAGAAAAACATGTGGTAAGAATTTGACGGAGTAGATACGGACAGAGTGCCTCGCTTCCCCGGGGCTCGGGTTTCCATGGCCTACATTGATCGATCACCCAGCGTTGCGTAAAACGACTCGTGCCCTGTGATCGCGAGAGCAAGTATCGCACATTATCAAGATATACGAAAGCTGGGATCCGGTTTTAATCAAGATTTGACCGAAATGAATTTGAGATAAGTTTATTATTCAAAATGAGATCAACTGTGCTGCTAAATTGCTTATTGAAGATTTCTCTGTTACGCCAAGATATTTTACAGGCAGTCAGGCACTTTCTTCTGATGCCGTATTTTATTATAATAATTTTTATGGCACAGTACGTGAGAATTTCAAAAAATCACTAGAATTCCGTAGCAGCAAATCTAATACATAACGTATGAACCTAGGGTGGGTGACAATGCATTGATGAAATTTTTTATATAATGTGCAGTTCTAAAGCTTGTAAACTTTGAAAAGTAAGAAATGTTTTTGCAAGTCAATTTAAATAAAATTGAGCTTGCAGAAAAATTTGGATTTAATTCTATTAGTGTTAACCCAACTTAAACCCCTTGCTCCCTTTATTAGGCGGGAATTCTTGAAAATCATGCCAGTTTTGAATATTTTTAATATTTCCAACAACCATATTGAATTTGAATTACCACATCTATATTGGATTACAAAGCTCCACAAAAATCCAAACAAAGATACATAGCGGGTTCGAGAAAATGTTCTACCAAGCCTCTTTCTTTACTCCTCACTTAGAAATTAACAGTAGTGAAGGAGAAACTTCAAGAGTACAATGTATTGTGCAACAACATATACGTATAAGAAGTAAAGTAATTCGGATGTGGATTCTTAAAAATTCCCAGGAACTTTTGGACAATTTTAAATCACAAGAAATTACCAAAATCAACAGCATAAAACCATTTGCCTTTTCAACTTTATATACCTTACGATAAATTAAAATCCAGATGTTTTGGTATCATAGACAGCTGCTTTTTAAATGAAAATGGAAGTCGTAAATTTACTTACCTTTTCCATTGTTCATTAAAAAATTATTTTGTTAAGTACTTTGAAGTTGACATTAATAGATACTAGAGTTTCTGATTGACAATATATTTATGGTTTTTGGAGAACATATCTTCCAACAATATATTGGAATTACAATGTTTACCAATTGCACCCCTTATTAGCAGACCTATTTTTGTATTCGTATGAAACAGAATTTGTCCAAACTCTTATACATGTAGACATTCAGAAAATCTACGACCTATTGTCAATTAACAATGGCTATTTCCATTCTTATGTCGATACGATATATCCCGATGAGCTTGAAATAAAAGATACCAGAGTCTGAAACATTTGGACATTTTACTTGAAAAAGACATTTGTGGTAATCAAACAACCAAGCTCTATAATAAACGTGATGACATAAATTTTTAATTGTCAAATACCCTTACTTATACAGCAATATACCTTCATCACCTGCATACGGGGTTTATATCCCTCAGTTGATTCGATACGCCAGTGCATGCTCTACGTATATGATTGATTGATTGATTGTATATTGTTTAACATCCCTCTCGAGAATTTTTCACTCATATGGAGATTCCCTACGTATATGAACAATTTTTAAAACTAGGTAAATTATTGACAAACAATTTGCTGAAGCAAAAAATATCAGCGGTCTCTTTTAGAATCATCATTGCGTAAGTTCAATGGTCAATACAATTGTCAAAAAATACAATTTTTCATTAAGTCAAATGCTGACTGACTTTTTTCACACTGATTGTTAGGCCATTATTTACACACTGAATTGTCTACGGATTGTTCCGTTATTTATCGGGCATGACAAGGAGCACAGGGTGGGTGTGACCAGTCGGCAGGTGTACTCACTCCTACATGAAACCTGATCCCATCTGTGATTATTTTTGGGAAGTCCCTGTATGCTACTCCAATTTTGTATTGTTTAATGAACGCAGAGCTCTGCTATGCAGTGACTTTTCCAGAGCTTTCAGTGACACTTGAGTCGACTGCATTGTGTAAGTTCATCCTGTATCCATCAGTCTTTGGAATTGCCATGGGCTCATTTTTCCTCCTTCATATATCTTTGACTTTTTCGTTATATATGAATGCTGTATATTCACATATTCTCTTCACATATTCTCGTGGGGACACATTTTCGAGGTTTAAGAAAAAAAATTATTGATATGTGGGGATTTAATTTCGTGGTTAGAGAAGTTTTGAGTAGTAAGGCATATTACATTTGATATTTCGTGGTGGTCATGAATTCGGGGGTCTCTCTATACTTCGAAAACAACGAAAATTAAACCCCACGAAAATTAGTGATTTCACAGTATGCACACACGTGAGTGCCTTTTTGAATACTCAGCTTTTGAAATAAGTCATTGATATTTTATTTCAATCAAATATGAAGACATTTAATGAAGTGACATCAGACTGGAATGTAATTCTTCAGTATAATAGTTCAAGACTTATTTATCTAAAATGGTTATTTTTAAAGAGAGTATTTTTTCATAAACACGGCGTAAACATAAAAAAATTTAAAAAGTGCCAATAAAAGTTTAAATTTAGTCAGCTGATGTCTCAATTCATTAAAATTTAATGGCCTTTTCTACGACATAACCATGAGTAAGACAGAACTTGTCGTTAATTATCCTGTGATGACCAATATGCTCACCATGACCACCAACTTCCTGTCAGAGAAAACTAAAGACCCCAGAACAGGTGTCTCAGACCTTTCAGTTTCCGCGGGGTTATCAGACGCTTCATTTAGCTCCAAATTTCCCTACTCAGACAAGAGAGGGATAAGTTCTAATTACCGAAGATAAATCGGCAAACTGAGAAATCACATCTTGTGTTGTGGTGTTAAAACGATTAGCAGATCAAGATTTATCAAGCAGTGTTTCACCACACACCTCTTCAATGCTTAAGAAATATATGCGTTCAGTTGCATATTATAGATTGTTGTCTGTTATTAATCAAAGAAGATTTTTTCTCGCTCTAATGTCATATATTCGGAATGATGTTTTAAATAACTTACTGTCCTCATGCATATAATGAAATATATGGAGATAACGAACAGTATTCCAAAAGTCCATTAAACAATAAAAACTTTGGAGCAGAACAAACAAGAACCTCTAAATCATCAGAGGTGGGATCCGGTGCCATGAAGGTGGGTGCATTTTCTGCCGACCGGTCACACCTGCCATGAACCCCTTGTCATGATCGGGAAATAACAGTGGACCTTTCAGTATATTACTTAATTGTTAAGCCTTATTAAGCCTTATTAAGCCTTATAAAATCACAGTTTTACGAAAATATAATAAAATGTACACTAGACAAAAGTGTATAAGATTTAAGTTTATCGTTTCATGTTACTCTAAGGCTTTTGTACTCTCATCGCTTTCAGTTAAGTCCGGTTTTATTGTAAGATACAATTTTTTTGAAAGTACTTCTTTCCCAGCATAACCATTTTTCAATGGAATTAGGCCTAATCATAAATCGACACACTAAGGTAAAGGATTTTAATAGTAAGTATCGCTCCCATAGTGCTAATTTTTTTAGCGGGCGTTTTGGATAATTTTAAGATAAGATAAATAATTTTACTGTCATTGTTTGCATGTAGATTTTCAGATATCTACATTTACAGATATTCATATTTATCTGTTACTAACATTTCTTTTCTTTTTTGACAAGACCAACCCTCCTGCGAAGATATCTACCACAACATGTGACACCCAGTAGTGCACTGAGTAGAATGGTAAGTCTCCATGGGTGGTGGAACATATCAAGCCTCCGATGTGTGAGTGTCTAGGTGTAAAAAAAACTAGATTAAGATCAATCACCATATGCATTGCATAACTTGTTTTCTTTTGTTTTCATCTTTGAAGACATAGGAATATGCTGCACAACGCATTTCCTAATCGTTACAATTTCAATTTTCAAAGTAACTAAATTTTTTTGCTTTACCTCTCATAGAAAAGGAGAAAGACATTTAGTCAAATGAAATATGGAGATAACGAACAGTAATCAAATTGAGATCTAGGTTTTCTAGTAGAGCAAACACGGGTCTCTCAAAGGTGAAATCAGGTGCCACTGGGGAGTAAGCACTAAATCTACCATACAAACAGGTCTGAAGGGAACTAAACAGGTCATCTTGGAAATGGAACCTCCCCAGATATCAACAATTTCCATGTATATGACTCCAGTGATATCACCTTTTTCTGCTTTTTGTTTGGGCACTGTTATACATTGTTCTTGTTAAATTGATTATTTTGATTTACTTACTGTCT